CGTCAAGGAAGAAGAAGACAAGGCACGGGCGGAGAAGAAACAGAAACTGTTTGAGGAACGTGTCGCGGCTGGATGGGATGAGGAGTCAGCACGACGAGGCGCATGGGGAGACAAGGATTACGAACCAGAAGAAGGCGCAACCTGGGGAGCCAGCGCCAGCGGCACGGTCAATACGGAAGGATGGGGCACCTCCGGCGGATGGGGAGGAGACGAATACGTGGACGCTCCGCTCACCAAAGAAGAAGAAGAAGAGATGGAACGCGAGATGCAAGCTGAGCGCGGAGAACCATCCCCCCGTGTCGCCATTCCGCTCGGTCGACCCCCGCGCACCCGCTCACCTCCCTCCTCGCCCTATCGGTGGCATGATCATTGGTCGGGGATTGAGGAGGGGACTGTACCACCAACTCCTTCGCGGGACTCACTTGGTCCAATCTCCCGCCCAGATCCTTTCGCTCGTTTCATTGAAGGCACCACGACTCCACTCACTATCATTCCCGACCGCGACTTTCTCGCCCTCTACCACAACGGCACCTGCAGAAGGGGAGACAACGGCAGAAGCAGAAGGAGAGGAGCCGGACAACGAAGCGGAACCAGGAGAAGAGGAAGAACCCCCACTCCAGATCCCGCAAGTTACGGAACCAGAGGCAGCAGAACACTACGCTCGCTACAAGCGCACTTCCGGCATTCGCGCCGAAGATGATCTCTGGCACCAGCGTCTGGGACACCCCTCGCGCCAGACCCTCGCCAACTGCCTCCGCGCAAAAGTTTTCCCGCCAGGAGCACTGCTGCGCCCCGACGGAACAGAACCGCACAACACCCCTCACCCAGTCACTTGCACTGTCTGCCCCACAGCTGCGCTCTCCCACAGCGCCTACCCTTCTCTGGAGCCGAGCACCAACCGTTACAAGAAGCTGGAGAAAGTATACAGCGACTTTATCGTACTCACTTCCGACGGTATCAACGGCGAGAAATATACCCTCACCTTCATCGACGCCTACTCACGCCATGTGTGGATCGCCAACGTCGACGCTCGCTCCAAGGCTCCGGAAGTGTTCCGCATCTTCCTCGCGCACGCGCAGCGACAGTCAGGAAGGAAGCTGAAGATCTGGCAGAGTGACGGGGCCAAGGAATTTCGCAGCAACGAGCTGGAGAGTGTTCTTACCGAGAAGGGGATCAAGCATGAGATTTCTCTTCCCTACGCTCACCAGCAGCAAGGCGTCGCAGAGAGGGTTAACCGCACCCTCATGACAAAAGTGCGCGCCCTCATGAACCAGTCCGGCCTGCCGAAGAAGTTCTGGCCCTACGCCATGAACCACGCGGTGCGCTTGCACAACCTCCTCTCCACCACCGCCAACAGGGACAACCTGTCCCCTCACATGAAGTGGACCGGCTCAAGGGGAGACCCCTCCATGCTGAGGGTCTGGGGATGCATGGTGCAGTACCGGCCTACATCGGCCACCATTGGCAAGTTCGCTCACCGCGCGCGCTGGGGTGTTCATTTGGGCCTCAGTAACGAGCACAAGGGCTGGCTCATCCTCGACACGGATAGCAAGGAGGTTGTTCCCGCGCGTGACATTCTCTTCTACGAGCGGCTCACCTTGAAGCAATGGATCGAGGACGAGCGGCGGAACGAGGCACGAGGTTACGTCAACAGCGGTCGCAGCTTTGCAACTCCAGAAGACGAGGCAGCAGCAACAGCACTGGACCGCGACGACACAGACGGACATCCCAACATCCCACCTCGCCCGCGCAACAACGACGATGATGACAGTGACGACGATCCCGCGCCAGGTCCGTCACGGTGCCAAGCAGAGGCAAGCACTACATCGCCCGGCTACGAACGCGGAGACGACGACGTAGTGGAAGTTCCCACCAACACTGACACCACCAACGTGTCCGGCCTACAACTACTCGGCCTGCACACGTCCGTCACTACCCTCGCACGGGCCGTGGAGCCAAAGAATTCTCGCCAGGCCCTGACCGGCCCGCACGCCAAGGAGTGGCGTGCAGCGATGGATGCGGAGCTGAGAGCGCTGGAATCTCGAGACACGTGGGTCCTAGTCGATCGTGCAGCAGTGAAGGGGAGGAGGGTACTCAGCGGAAAATGGGTTTTTCGCCTGAAGACTAACGCTGACGGAACCATCGAGCGATTCAAAGCACGCTGGGTCGTACGTGGGTACGATCAGCGCCACGGCATCGACTTCGACCAGACCTTCGCTCCCGTCAGTCGTCACACCTCCGTCAGGATCCTACTCGCCATTGCCGCCGCTAAGCACCTACCACTGCGACAGATCGACGTGAAGAACGCGTTTCTATACGCGTTGGTGAACGCCACCATCTTCGTGGAGCAGCCTCACACCTACGGAGAAGGGGATCCTAGGGTCTGTCACCTGAAGAAGTCCCTCTACGGGATCAAGCAGGCGCCCCGTCTCTGGCAACAGCATCTGCACAAAATTCTCCTGGAGATCGGTTTCAAGCAGCTGCCGCACGACTCGGGAATGTATCGCCTTCACTTCAGCGGCGATTACATCCTTCTGACAGTCTACGTCGACGACCTGCTGTACACGGGCACCTGCAACAAACTCCTTAACCAGTTTGAGGAGAACCTGGCGCAGCGCGTGGACATCACTATCAACCACAACGTGAAGCAGGTTTTGGGGCTGAACATCACCTACGCGCCAGAAGCAATTCACCTGTCAGCCTCCAAGTACGCAGAGCAGCTGGGGGAACGCTTCAACATCTCACCAGCACCACTCTCAACTCCCTACCGCAACCCCAGCGCCAACTACAAACCGGACAACAAACCTCTGTCACCCGCATGGCTCCAAATGTACCAGCAGAAGTTGGGGTGCCTGCTATTTGCCTCTGTCACCTGCCGACCCGACCTTTCGTACATCGCTAGCCAGCTGGCACAATATTCCCGCAAGCCAGTAGCTGAGAACCAGTTGGACCTGGAGCGCGCCCTGCAGTACTTCATCTCTACACCTGACATTGGGCTCTCCTACTCCACGCTGACAACGACCTCCTTCAACCTCAACGGCTACGTGGACGCAGATCATGCAGCTGACCCTGCAAATCGACGGTCCCGAACCGGCTTCGTTTTTCGCTTGGAACCAACTGGGCCAATCTCCTGGAACTCGCAGAAGCAGGAGCTGGTTGCCCTGTCATCGGCTGAAGCAGAATACATCGCCGCGACAGCAGCAGTTCGCGAAGGCCTGTACCTACAGGAGCTGCTACAGGAAGCGAAAATCCCAACTTCGCCTACTTTTCGCCTTCACTGCGACAACCAGAGCACCATCAGAATCGCGAACAAGCCAGGTTTCGTGAACCGCACGAAGCACATCGCACTTCGGTACCTTTTCGTCAAGGACGAAATTGACCAGGGAAAAGTTGACCTCGCCTACTGCCCGACTACTGAGATGGCAGCAGACTTCCTCACCAAGCGCCTGCCACGTCAGCAGTACAAGCACTGCTCTGACCTCACCGGAGTAGTCAAGCGAGTCAGCTCCTCCCGCGCCCAGGAATGAAGGGGAGTGTTACGATATGAAATTACATGAGTAGGCATTCCTGTATGCTGCAGGAGCCGACTCTACCGAGTACGAAGTCAAGGAGTCAGAAGAGTCGAAGCGACGCAGCAACCGTCTAACCAAGACCTATGCAGTCAGAAACATTTGAAGTGAAAAGAGCGGGAACAGGTTTGAAACGGGTTCCCGCGCCACACGGTTTGAATTTCGCTGCAATAAGGGAATGTACCCCTTAGAGTACATGGCTAGTCTAAGTCTTTTCGTATTCCTTTGTACTCTTATATAAACTCGATGTATGCATGCTTTTATCAACTCAGTCATTTTACATTCACTCTGACCTGAGATTCAAACTTCCGCTGCAACACTACTCTGCGATCAACCCTGAGCGATCCTTCGCTAAGTCCCACCTGGGATTGTAACACAGTAGAAGGTTGATTGATCGATAATAGTTGTTTTTATCCATTCTCACTATGTGCATGACACCACCACACCATTTCTCGTCATGGTTATTGTTTGTTTGTTTTTTTATAAAATGATATTTCGTAGACATGAATGCGAGTCTCCCATTTTTTGTGAAGATGTATGGTCACGTGATTCTTTATTCCAGCATTCTCTTGTACAGCTCAGAGTAAGCAAAAGGGAGCTTTTTGAAGCGGATATGAAATGCGAAAATCGAATTTCAAAATTTGCTGGAAGCGGAATACTCGGCGGCGCATTGTACATGACGAGGTCCCAACCAACCCAAACCATCTGTCTAGCACGAAATACATGATTCTCCTCTAGGCACATGCTTTGGGACAAAAGGTGGATGCTCTGTTCTCCCTCCACCATGCCTTTACTCGATGTGCTTTATTCGCAACCTCAACACACTACTACGCAGCCATCCTCCTAACCCGCAAAGCCGTTCTTTCCCACAGAAAATAATCCAGGTAGACTTTGCGCGTCTGTAGACCCTAATTTCTACCCGTCTTTTGACTATTGAAATGAGCTGTTGACTTCATCGCGGAAAAGTCTGACACCAAATTTGGGGCTCCGTGGGTTTTTCTACCAAAAACCACACAGAAAATCACCGCACACCCCCCAAAACTCACACGATTTATGTGACGTTACCGTCACTCACCCCCTTCGCTCCAATTGGCCGCGCTGGCATTGTCGCATCGCACATTTCCCACAAAAATCGCGCCGCATTCGAAATTACAGCGCGCCGCGCATTTGCAACGTCACCGCGTCCACCCAGACGTCCTCTAAAAGATGGCAACCCCGATATCCACACAAGTTTAGCTACGCACACTCATACTTCACACCACGTCTTACACCAAAAACGCCATTCATTAAATAAATGGGCGCACAAAACAGCCACCCCAGAAGGAGAACTTGGGATCACACACATCCAAATGTAATGAGCCAGCCCGTCAAACAACACGGATCAACCCTTCACGTCTGCGAGCGTGTCCGCACCACAATTAAATATACCCTCTACTCGCACAACAAAAACTTGTTAAGCAGCATCACCTTCTTGTTCACATACGACCGGACCACGTGCACCACACGCTTGATGCACTCCACGTCCACCACCGCATACTTTGTGTCTTCCCTCCCAGGCGTCAGCTGCACACACGTGGTCATAGGGCACTCCCCCACCGCCTCATAGTACTTCACATACGCGTATGCTCCCTCCTCCCCGTCACAGTTGGTCGCACGGAAAATGCACAAGCATCGTGCGTACCACTCCTTCTCTTCAGGGTTCCTCACTGCCACATCTGAGAACCAGTTCTCAGCCGGACTCGCCTTGACGAACGTGCCTTTTGCAACCAGCTCCCCCCCACGGGTTCGTGGAATGGCCACGGCGGTGTGTACCTACAATCACCACACACACGAGGACAGGTGAGAGGCCAGCAACACACTTACACCGTCCTGAGCACCGAATCAAACCGAGCCCCAGTGCCCCCCCCCCCCCCCCCCCCCCCCGCCAAAACCCGCCCCCCCCCACATGCGACCACACCTCCCTTTGGTGCATCAACCAACGCGGTGGCCATACAAATACCTTGATCACCAGTGTCTTCACATCGGCCTCCACCATGCATCTCCCAAACGCCTTCATGTCTGGTCCCAGAGACTCCCTATAGACCCACAGCACGGCGTCCTCTTCGTCGCTCACGTTCGCGATGCGGGACTTGCGCGTCAGCACGTGCCCTTGAAGCCGCACAGCCTGAAAGGGAGTACAAGAGCATTGTGCACGGACGCTTCACCCAGTGACAACAACGATGCAGCGGTGTCCACAAACAACATAGCGACTGCGTGAGACTCCGGCTTCACATCAGCCCCCAAGTACCACGACAACACACAACCACCGAATACGTCCTCACGCCTGGACCGTGCAACCACATCCCTCGCCGCATGTCATCGCTCACACCCTAGTACCCCTAACACCCACCACTTCCGATACAGGGTGCGGCGCCACCAGACCGCAACAACCAACCCGCTCCAACCCCCCCCACGCCCCCCTCCCCCCCACATCTCACCTCGCGCAGCGCTGTCACGTACAGCCGCCCCCCGCCCGCCAGAGACGCCACCTCACGAGTGATCTCCCGCTGCACCTCCTCGTCCACGATTCGACGCGGGATGTCCTTCCAGTTGCTGCCGCGCACAGGGACTTTCACTGTGCCCTTGTGAGTTTGCTCCCAGAGGTTCGTGGAGTACTCCCACGGCATCCCTCGCAGTGGAATTTGGTCGATGAGGTGCACAATCTGGTGCACCTTTGGGATGTTCCACGATGACTTCTGGTCCGGGAAAGCGTCCACGATTGCGTCCATCATGCTGGCGTCCCGCACGAATGACAAGGGATGGTGTAGCAACACGGGGGTGAGCGAGTGAGGCAACCATGCTCGCGACAAAGGTGCTGTACAACGCGGTCATGGCACGGCCGTGCAATGACCCCCCACCGTCCGCACAACACCCACCGCACAACCCGCCACAACTCGCAACCACACGCACACCCCCATGATCCCCCGCCACCCCGGTTCCCACTCACGTGTATGAGTACGTGCGGGCGTCCTCCACTGTCTTCTCCGTGTGCTTTGGCACGCCGACGAGCGCCTTGTAAAACATCGCATACTTCCGGAAGGCCCTAACAGCCTTGAAGCGCCGCTCCTTCTCCTCAGCCTTGCAACCATCCATGTTGTCCGCGATAATAATCGGCATCACCTGCATCATCCCCCTGTTCTCAAACGCCGCGTAGTTCGCACGTGACCTGAACCATGACGTCCCACCAGGAATCCGAACAATCGTGCTGCGAGTGTCCTTCTTCTGTTCCTTCTTCCACCTGCACATCACCAATCACCACGACCGTACCAGTTACACATGTCACACCCCACAAACGTTGAGTCGGAAACAAGTCACCCATATACCTTTCAAGCTCCCGCCTCTCTGGCTTGCTAAGTCCACGTATGAAAATGTCGACCAGATGACCAAGCATCCCGCCATCCAGCACATGCAGGATGTCCGCAACGTACGCCAAAAAACAGTTCCCCCACTCAACATCCGCAAAGTTCCACCTCTCCAGCACGCACTGTCACACACACCAAGAAAAAAAAAAACACAGCCCACCCGTCACACGACACCCTGAGAAACACAGGAGGCGTGATGGCCCCCTATACAACCACTTGGACATGTCACACCGCGGTCACAAGTGGGAGCGTATAGGACCACCCACCCCTACGTACCTGCACAGGGTGAGTCGACCATCGGCGCATGATATTGCCCGCCTCGTCACTCTTCGACGCTGTCTGTATTGCATCCACAATGCGCCTGTGCAGCTGTGGCGTCCGCGTTGTCGTCACTGTTTGGAGCTCGGACAGATGCACCCTTTTGATAAAGCATGAACTGCACGGCCGGTGAGACGCCTGCTGCATCGTAGCCGTGCAACGGGACGACTCAGGATAATCCCCAACTTCCGCAAACAGACATGGGTACGCCTTCACCACTCGCCCGGCAACATCCGACACATAAATGAATTTCAACTCCGCCCTGAACATCACCGATCAAACACATGTGTAAAACACCTGGCCCATACGGTTCACCCAAACACAAACGCATCGTGTCACACCGCACAGGCACAGACTACATGATACTCACCCATGATGCTCCCTCAGCAACGGTGCGAAAATCACCGCCATCGCCTCCTGAAAAACACGAGTCTTCTCCGTCGATGTTGCCCATTCCGGAGGGAACGGCAGTACCCCTGCAAGTACGTGGCCGGGTTCAAGCCACCTCAAACTTTCAGGGATGTTGACAAGGCTGATGAGTACTGGCCACGCCTGAAGCCTCCCGTTGGAGGACGCATGCGTGCTGTCGCTGTACACAATAACTCCAAGGATCATCCCCTCTTGGTTGGGACGGCTTGCCTGCGCACCCAAGCACGGGGGGTTATCAGTCCCACTCTCCAGAAACGACGCACGGTTGACTTGCTCAACCATCCCCAGACCAATACACACGATACAACGTCCTTGACTCACATGAGCTCTCTCCATCCAGATGCCCGTATCGGGTGTGCTGAAATGTCTCTTGCCCTCACAATCCTTCTCGTCCCTTCTCGGCTCGGTAACAAACCCTTTGTTGTGAACGTACGTCCGCACCAGCTTCTGCACCAACTGTAGTGTGTGGGACACGGGAGCGTAAAGCGCGTCATTACCAGAGCCGTGGATAGCCAAACAGCCGTCCACCACAACAACAAACATCTCGTTCTGGGCTCACCAGCTCTGTGTTTCTGAAATGCAGCGGGAGAATCGCCATCTGTCCACCAGGGCCATAGCATTTGATCTCCGCAGTCTGCCATGGCACCAGATCAGGTGGTGCCATCGCTTTGCCGAACCGTCGGACGTCGACATAGTTCAACCACCTCCTCACGTCCCGCACTGAGAAGCGGGGATTGCGGAATATGTGCAGCAGCCTGTTAACCTCGCGCCTAGACAAGTCAGCATCTCGGAAAAATATGTAGAGCTCCGTTAGCGTGTCAAACCCATCGTCTATGCTGCTAATCTCGCTGACTGCGTCGTCGCCATCGACAGACGCTGCAAGCCGCCCCACACAAGGGGCCACCCCCGCATCACCGTCCTGTCCTGCGTCTGGAATCGGTTCGTTTCGCCGCGAACGTACGGGTGATGGTGTACCGCAACCACGCATCTCGCGCACCGCCTCTCTGTACGCCTCTATTAGCCGCTCCGCCCTTGCGTGAGCGATTTTTCGTCTGCATTGTTTGTTGCCGGCAAGGTGCGAATGCAGGGTATTGTCATCTACGTGCTCGTCGCCACATGCCTCGCACGCGTTTCCTAACATGACTCAGTGCGATGACAGAAACCCTAATCTGTGAAATAGGTGCTCACTGTGTCACCACAACCAACTACGTACTGTTGGATATTACACATGTTGTCCGCTTCCCCTGGCCACATCAGCGTACCCACAACAGCTCTTCCTAAAGAAGATGTGCTGCAACCTCCATATCATATGTGGGCTACCTACACCGCAACTGGGTGCGGAAACGATCCAGCGTGCGTACGCGGGTGAAACGGACGCTGCTGACATGGGCATCTGTGGCGTGCACCTAAAAAACAGTCCACGTTACAGTGGCGAGTGGACACGGGACCACCCGTCACAACAAAACACGGCAAGGAAAAATGCCAAACATGCGCACAACATTCATGGTTACCAACGCGCAATCCTTCTTGTTATGAGTTGTGCTTAACTGAGTGCGCGGAAGACTTTATAAAAAGGATGAAACTACAGAATTACAGAAAACAGCATTGAATGAACAAGAGAAGCATTTATAGGGCGAATACGTGCTAGGCGCGAACCACGTGACGTGCGAGGATTGGATGTGTCGCGATTGGTGCGGGCCGACTCGGAAGTGGATCGGGGCGAAATGTAGGCCGAACCGGAATCTGACGCGAAGAGGTCGGGGCTGTCCTCGCTAGGAGCAGCTTCGGCTGTAATGAATGTATATTCATTACACTTCTCGTCTTCATGCCATCTCGTAACCATGCGTACCCCTGTTTATGTTAAAATAGATCATACTCGCTACGGAGTGGCTGTAATTCCGTTATTGTAACTGACGGCGACACCGTACAACAAACCTCCCGAACGGACTTGTTGGCATCGTTATCCGAACCGTTTCCCCGGACAGAAAATTGCCACATGTATACCATCAAACCCTATCTATCCATTGGACGGTAAACTCGTACTGCACTAATCAGCGTACACCAGGTGTCTGTGGACGTGTCATTATGCCAGGTGCTTGGTTCCGGACGCAGATTACGACTGTACACATACAAACCCCATGTCCATGTTCACGCACACTGAGCTCCCCTCTAGTTGTGACACCAGCGTCCTATATCACAAGTACAGCAATCTAGCGTCCAGCACACACAACGGAATGGCGGCATTAGTACAGCTGTTAGAGTCTCTCAATGCACACCCGAATGATGTTTTCTGCTTTGCCGAGACGCCTCTACTCGCCACAACTTTGCCCTACTTAATTAACTTCAATGCCTCCCCCCGTTACCACTCGAAATGCGAACTGCGCGTGTGTATGCTGTTCAACGCTTCTGGAATTATGGCCCAGCCGCCCCTTGTCGTGCGTCGTCGGGACCGCGCTCGCCCATACCGTCAATGCCATCCTGCGAGGAACCCTGTTATCCAGCGGCAAACCAAGGACGGAGAACTCTCTGCCGAGGTGAGTGTGACGAAGCCATAAGTTCTCATTATTACGGCCCAACCAGTTGTCACGACTGACCTCTTACCGTCATGTTGTCCGCACCTCTGCAGTACTTCACCGAGTTCATGGACAACTTCAACAACGAGCGCTTCGGCCAAAACAAGAACGCCATAGTCCTGGTGGCTAATGCGGAACACGTGTCGCTGGACGCTACAGCCTACGAGACCGAGATGCACGGTTTCCGCGTGCAGCATTTGTTCAGCACGATGATCGTCCACGTCGAGGGCATTGTGGCCCCCTACAGCCTCCCCTGGTTATGCGGCGTTGTCGAGGTGTTCAAGGCAATATTTCGCGGCCGCTACCTTAGCTTCATTACCGCTGACGCTGCGTGGCGCTCCAAAGGTTTAATGCCCATCATCATGTACGAGAACGTGCTGACCTGGATTGCTTCGGCGTGCGAGACCACCTCATGCTGGGCGATTCAACAATCGTGGGCGCGATCCGGGGTTATGCCCAAGGCATGGCGGCAACTGCTGCACCTCACGGGAGAGCAACCAAGCAGCATCACCATCGAGCCACTGTTGCACCAACTTGTGCGACTACAGCTACTGATTGACCAGTTCAAGAAAGGCGGCTTAGGCTACATGCATGCGTCTGAATACGCTGCGTGCGACACGCGCATCCTCGGCTCCATCAGGCGTTCTTCGGACGGCGGCATCGAGGACTGTGATGCGCCAACGGCACTCCTGATCACGCCCGAAGGGCCTCTCCTGCACGACCCTCGTACGCGCCGTCGTGTGGTTCGTGCGGTGACGATAGCCTACGTGCGGACTGCGGCGGAAATGGGCATCCCGCCTCGCGACGTGCCTGAACGAGTGAGTATCAGTAATGCCGATGTCGTCACACGCCTGCAGCGCACTCCACGGAAACGGACTCGCAGTGGACGAACGCGCTCGCCAGTGACTGGATGCAGCGATGGCGATAGCGCAGACGCTTCACACCTGTTGTGCACTAGTTCCATCTTTGCTTCGTCAGACAGTTGCAGCAGTATGTAGGATCAGGTTTTAAATGCGTGTGCGGGGTGGGGTGGGTGGTTTGGGCGACGGCGCAATGGTGTGTTTAAATTATTTATCCTTTGCAGTGTTTTCTTTGTTTTGTTTAAATGACTCATATAGTGGAAAATCAGGACGACCCTACAACACACATTGTGATACTCAGCAAATCCCCAAAAGTGCATCCCGTTAGCGGTTGCGCACCAGCGTACTAGCCTTGTAGTGGGGATGGATGTTTCGCAATATAGGTTGTCTTGTTTCACTCGGTACAGTACGTAGAAGATGGAGAGTAATGATGTGACCAACTGGATTTTCTGGCGGACAATTTTCTTACGCAACAAACGGTGCGTCCAATCCAACGCATGGTTGGTGGGATCTAGAATCTTCCCGTTTGGCGCGCTTTCACATGCTTTTGCCGCGTGGCCTCATCATGCACATCCGCTTATCGTCCTCGTACATCATTCCTAGCCTCTCATTGTCCCATCGTCCCATCCGAGTTGTTGCACAAGCTGACTGAAGTGCACAGGCGCAACCTGGTTATCTCTGTATAACCTTCAACACAGAAAGTCGGAGGATGTTCTTCCTCATCCACTCTTGTGCACTCCAGATAGTGTCAAACCCTCGTCGCAATACAGCATGAAGAGGCGCCAGAAGGCAGACGCAAACGCGGCATCGGGCTCCGACGATGCTGGCGAGGGTAAGATACCGTACTACCTATCCCGGATGCTTGTTCGGCGGCCCGGTATGGATTTTTTCCCCGCACGCAGACAGCGCAACGAAGCGCGAAATCTTAAAAGACGAAGACAACAGCAGCCAAGCTGGGTGGAAGAGTGTCGGCAAAGGATCGGTGGTGGACGACGAGCCGGACGATTTGGTGGCGAGGCTTTCACAGGCGGACCGTCAGCGAGATTTCAAGACTTTGACGCTGTGGGGGCCTCACGGCGTTGGATGCAAGGTCACCGCGCAGGACGCGCTCACTACAGCTGACGGGCAGGATCTCGCGGACAGCATCGTGGATTTCCACAACATGTAGGCCTGGATTTTGTACGGCACAAGTTCCACCGTTTCCGCCTTGTTTGAGTGTCGATTAAATACGTGTGTATGAGATTTGTGCTATGCAGACTTTTGAACATCCGCCATCGGCGACTCGGCAACGGCAAGACATGGTTCCCGCTGGATAGCAAGGCGTTTGTGTATGCGACGCAGCTGAACAAGGCGTGGCATGTGCCTCGTTCCACCAACATCTTTACCCTCGACTACCTGGCTATCCCCATCATTCAGCAGTGTGTGTTCGAAGTTGTACAATCCCGTGTGGTGTACCTGTGTTGGGTGGTTTGGAAAGCACGCGACATAATCCGTCTCCCTGCGATATGCCGTCTACAGGGAGCATTTTTCACTCGTTATAGCCATGAATTTGAAGGCTATGACATCTGCGAAACTCGGTCGCGGGGCATCCAACCAGGTCATCCTTGTCCATTACGACAGTGATGGCCTTCACACGCAAACCCCGTCAGTGATGGAAGGTGTTAAGAGGTACGGGATTTGAGTGTTCGTGGTCACCTGGGTTTGAACGATGTGTGCGAGATGAGTCTGACACATACTCTGGCGGTGTGGTCGCATGATGCTACAACTCATTCACCAGGAGCAATTGCCCACGGAAGATCGAGCTCAAGTGTATGAGGCGGTGGACGATGCCGTGATCGTGGTCATCAAGGTGCGATTGCAGATCCAAATTGTTGCCTATCCACGTCTTTTGATGCTGTGCCATTGTACATGTGGTGACCTAATCACATGTGTGTCTCTGTTGCAGAAAGAGGTGATTCCGCAGAAAACCAACGACAAAGACTGTGGCGTGTTTGTGTGCATGTACCTCCACGCGCTTGTGACATCGGATTTCAAGTCAGTACTCAAGTGGGTGAATTGCAACGGGGTTACGGCACGCGACTACCGGCGAGGGATACGCAAAGACGTGTGCAGTCACGCTGAAGGCGAGTTGTTCGTGCAGCTGTTTACAGAGGAGGTCGAGATCCCGGTGCAGCCTATTGCCCGTATTGGAGACGAGGGGAGCCTTGTTTTCCCCATAGCGGACGAAGAGCGCACGGAGCTGGGTCGGTTGTCCCGTGATCGTACGTGCATGGAGCTGGACGGGTTTGTTTTGGCGTCCGCAGTCATGAGTCTGGCCACCGCTTTGGGGTACAACCAGGATCAACTGTCGGCCGCTTGTGCACATGAGTTGGGTACTAATGGGCCGCGACTGCTCGCGCGCTCCAAGACAGCTGAGAAACATGAGGAGCGGACGGCGGCAACCCGGTCGTTAGCATCTTTACTACACAACAAGCCAGCCCCTCTCCCCCCTGTAGTGTCCGTGCACACGACATCCCAACAGGTGCCTTGTGTTGCACAGAAAAGGACACGCGCGGACTTCGCACAATCAACCTCACCTGCGACACCAGTACATGCCCGAAGCGAGGGAGGCCGTAAGGCACGAACGGTCGGGCCGAATGCTCAGACTGATTGCGCGCTGGGCGAGAGGAAGCGCTGTGGGACAAGCGAGTTCACAGGCGTGTGGTTCGATCAGCGTGTGCGCAAATGGTGTGTCAAGATCGTGGCGGATCCTTCAACCCATCAACAGATACGTCTGGGGGCCTACAACATGGAGGACGAGGCTGCGTTCGCGTACGCTGCAGGGGCGTTCGTGATTCGGAGAAACACACAGTTCCCCAAGGTGCAGGAACTGTCCGGTGCGGAGATGTGTGCGTTGGAAGGTTGCATCACCGATGACGTCCGACACCTGGTGCACCAGCGCCAGTGGTTTCGGTGGAGGGAGTGGAGGAAGGCAATGGACGACATTGGGGTTGTGCCTGGAACCCCCCTTTGACGCCAAAAACCCGACGGGGAAAGCACGGCCCGTGGTCAGAGGAGCTAAGGAAGAGGTAGTGGAAGAGAAGACACAGATTGTAGGCGATAACACGGGAGGGGAGTGTGAAGGGTCTGTGGAGGAAATTGTGAAGACTCCTTGAAGCCTTGGATTGTAGGGATGGGCTGGAGACGCATGCCGCTGTGGTTGTGGGATTTTAGACTGTGGGGTTGTTGTGGACACTGTATTTGCTTGTTAGGGTTTTTTGTTTTAAAATAAGGATGTTATGAATACGGGTTTGTTTACAAGGTGGACACTGTGCACACTTGGTTGGTGAAGTGGACCGATGTGGACACATGGCAATGTGGTCACCTGGCGACTGCTGGCTGCATCTGTGGACAGTAGTTCGAGGAAATGCTGTACATAGATTGGGTTGAAGTCACTAGCGGAGCCGTGGCTTTTTTTGGTTGGACAGTGAAATCGCGTCACGCATGTACACGCCACGTCAGACGCATCTCAACCCTAGACACTTGGGCTAGACGCCTGTGTTTTCTGCACAAATGCTTGTCACAACAGGTGACAGAGTTGTGTCTTTCAGTTGTACACTTGCGTCATGGACAGTGCAAATGAGAGCATGAGGGGATCCAAAGAGGGGAAACCCCACCGTGTGTCCCAGCCACCTAAGCACCTGAAGCAGTACATTGTGCCCGGGGTGTCCAAGCGTCCACCAGTGCCGAAGCCACCAGTAGCAAGGCCGAAGAAGGCGCCCGCACGAGCTCCTCCAAGCGTCACCTCTGACCGTGGTACGTATGGTTAAGTGTCCATTGGTTGGCATGTTGGTACGATACTGTTGTTCACTGCCTAACACTTATACGCCCGTAATTATTGCAGAGTCATCGCCCCAGCCAACGGCACGCGATGCCCGTGATGGCGGGAGCTCGTCCTCAAGGGCGACTACCTCCCACCGCCGAAAGTCCGGACAGGCAACGACGAACGAAGATGGTCGTCGCGCGCCGCCCGCGAAGAGGGGCAGGATGTCTGAGGTCGAGGTCGAGGAAGGAGAGGGCGATGCCCCGCCTCCGCCGATGGAGCCTGTGTCCTCGGACGACAACCCCAACGAAGCTCTTCCACGTGTGAATGCCGTCAACGAGGGTGACGCGGATGCCACGCAGGAAGAGCGGTGCGAGTCAGATCCAGTGACAAGGTCCGAGTTTGAGGCCATACGTTCCATGCAGAAAGGCACGGCCGAAACCATGGCGCGGATCGAGTCGGCGCTGTTGGCTAAACTCGCTGAGCCGCCAGCGAAGAAACGCAAACAGGATAACGCACGCGGGGAGTGTGACCAGACGGTTCGGCCCAGGAAGTCACGTCGCGTTGCGAGTGCGGAGGACTCGTTGGACGACGAGGAAGTGGAGGATGAGGTTGGGCGTCACGTGCTGTCGTCAAGCTCTCCCATTTTGCAGCGTGCGCTGAAGTTTCTCCCTGCAAACAAGGGATGGAAGGTATGTGGCGCGTTTGGAAACGATGGATTTCCTGTAGCGATAGTCAATGTGCTGTGGTGTGGTAGTATGCTCACGTGTTGCAATCCACGCGTGCCGCCGCAGGAGATTTGCGAACAACTGCGGGTGCATCTCTTCCTCAACGCGGAAGACACCGAGATGTCGTTCTACCCTAGCAGTGCGGCAAAGAGTGCGGGCCTCTGCGCTATCATCGAGCGTCTTACGCCTGCGTTTGCAAGCCTTGCGTTGGCGGCCGACAAAGGTCGGCGCACGGACTTGAACCACGCTTTGAGCGACTGGAAAACGGGCACAGCAGGCCGCGTGCGCGACATTGCTCTCCCAAAGCTTGGACTGTTCAGGGACGAGCGGGATGAGAGCAGTCCATGGGCGGCACCCAAGGCACGCTCGGCAAAGAGGGTGAAAGAGCGTGTTGGGCTCACGATTCATGGGGAGGGTAAGTTGGTTGGGTGGGGTTGCATTTCCACCGTGAGTTGTTGGTTCTGTGTTGTCCTAATTGTCAGAATATTATGCTCTAGCCTGTAGTGGGGTGCTCTATAGCGAGTACAACCCTTCTAGGGTTTGCTATTTGTATCCTCATTCTTGCTAGTGCAACTCCTCCTTCTTTGCCTAAACTGTTTCTTGCCTAGCTAGGGCTTTCCTAGCTATGGCGCCTTCTTCTACTGCTTATCTTCACATGGTATTAGAGCGATATGCTCCTGGCCTGTGGGCCCCACCTCACTGCTTCCGCTGCTACTGCTACTCCCTGTCCGCCGCGCGCCCCGTGGTGTGCGGCGTCGAAATTAGGGTTTTTCAGCCCGCCGTGCGCCCCGAGGCGCGCGGCGGTTTTCTGCCCGCCGTGCGCCCCGAGGCGCGCGGCGGTTTTCTGCCCGCCGTGCGCCCCGAGGCGCGCGACGGGTTTCTGCCCCGTCACTCGGTGCGTCGCCCCCAGGAGGCGCTACGACGGGCGACGGGGACCCGCGCGTCGCCCCCCGTCGCCCGTCGTGGCCTGCGCGCGGCCCGTACAGCCGGCGCGCGGCCCGTACGGGCTGTGCCAGGCCCGCGCGCGGCCCGTACGGGCTGCGCCAGGCCCGCGCGCGGCCCGTACGGGCTGCGCCAGGCCCGCGCGCGGCCCGTACGGGCTGCGCCAGGCCCGCGCGCGGCCCGTACGGACTGCGCCAGGCCCGCGCGCGGCTCGGGCCGCCTGCGCGCGGTTCGGGAGGCTGTGCCAGGCCCGTGGGCGGCCCGTTCTTCGCTGCCCCTGTCCTCCCCGCTGTCCCCCGTGCTTCTGAAGGCGCCCCACCCCTCCTTCTGCCCGTTCTCCTGGATTAGGGTTTGGGGGTGGGGGGTATGGGGGTGCAGCTTCTGTGTGCCGTTCCCTGCTCCTCCTCCTCCTTCGTCTCCCTGTGCTGCAGCTGCCGCTGAAGGGGGGTGGACCTGTTGGAGCCGTCGGAGTGGTACTAAGGGGGGGTGAAGGGGGAGTGGAGCTAGGGGTGAAGCAGGGGGTGTGTGTCAGGGGGGGTGGTACTGTTTGGGGGAGGTTGAACGGAGGTTGCCGTCGTGTCGCCAGCAGCACCTGTAGTCCGGGGAGTTGCTCCGGTAGCCCAGTCGTAGCCACCTGTGCCAGTCGCCCGTGGGTCCGTTGCTCGTCTGCCGCTACTTTTAGCCGCGGGGCCAGTTACTCCAGTAGTCCGGAGCGCTGTTCCGGTAGCCGCTGTGCCAGTGTGCCTCCTGTTGCCCGTGTGTCTGCAGCTTCAGCCGTCGCCTCCTATCTCCTCTCCTCTCACTGCCCCTCCTCCTCCTCACTTGCCCGTTGTGACTACCACTAGCTTTGCTCATAATTGTGAACTTTAAACTATTGCTTCCTGAACTTGTGCTCAGAATGTGTGGTGACATTGTGATCCACCCTGAGCTTGTTCTGCTTTGCTTGCTCTGCTGATTACACCCCACTTTGGCTATGGGGGTGTGTCAGAATATTATGCTCTAGCCTGTAGTGGGGTGCTCTATAGCGAGTACAACCCTTCTAGGGTTTGCTATTTGTATCCTCATTCTTGCTAGTGCAACTCCTCCTTCTTTGCCTAAACTGTTTCTTGCCTAGCTAGGGCTTTCCTAGCTATGGCGCCTTCTTCTACTGCTCATCTTCACACTAATTACGGTCCGTGGGTTGTATGCGCAGACGTGTTCACCATATCCAAGTGGAGTGAGGACCGACGGGGCATGCCTTTTGCCTCTGGAGCGTTCGCTGCATGCGCCCGGGCGGCGTTCAGGCCGAGGATGGTTAACGGGTGTCTCACCTTGAAGCTGTATCAGATGGCGTGGCTGGAGCACGTGGTAGGGGATGTTTTCTGCGTTGTAGAGCTGATGCGTAGTCATTGTCTCTTACCCTAATGGTTGGCACATGTGCATGAGCAGGTGACGGATGCGATTCGCTACTGGGACACCCGCAAGGGAAGGCTGTCCAACTCTGCGAGTGTGAACGCCCAGATCGTTGACGGACTCCGCAAGTGCGCGCTCGTGGACGTCAGGGCTGCCATCGAGCAGTTCCAGCCGCAGTACGACCCCATCGTGGCTTCATGGGCGTGGGGTCGCCATGGACTGCGCCTTTCCGCAAGCGGCATCCAAGGCCACGAGGCCGCCGCACAGGAGCCAAGCGAGAGCGCAGGGGATGCTGGCGACGCGTCCTTAGCTTGATGTGTTTTGGATATTGTGTAGGGCTTGTATGTGCAGCCCGTGGTCTCGTGTGCATGGTTTAGGTGTGGGGTTGTTTGTTGCAGGAGGGGGGGTTTGGCCTTTTTTTCGGGTGTTTAAACGTAGCTTGTGGTGCCGTTGAACATTAATGGCCGTGTGTGTGCGACGGTTGTTTGTGCAATATAACGGTGCAGCTTGTGGACGCGTTGTTGATGCAGTGTGTGCTAGAGGAAACTATCAACCAATCACAACACCGGAACCTGGGTTGACGGGTGGTTTGGGTAACCCTGTAACAACCAATGATAACCGTGCGTGCTCGCACCGCGTCCAGTGGTGGTTTCGTGATCGACGGTTAGATGCGAACCTGTACCACTCGCGATGCGTCTGGACGGCGCAGACCACACGGGGCTTGAACGGCGCCGAGTTGATGTTACAGGGTTGACGGATTAAGGGTTGTGTGTTTTGGTCCGTCGATGGCTTTTGGGCGAAAGGACGAATGGCGTCGCATACAGGCGCACGGACCTATGGGACGGTGTGTAACATCCTTCGCGTGTGTTGCAATGGGCGTTGTGGACCGCTGATGGCCAGGTTGGTCGTGCAGTGTTATCCGTTCAATCGTGGTTGTTTGGACGGGTGCGGAGTTGCCGCGCGGCGTGGCTGTATTGGTGGGGTGTAACAAGTTGTTGTCCCCGTTTGGTGGTGGGTGTGGCGTGTCCCTAAATCTGCCGTTGGTATTGTGTCGTATGGACGGTTGGATGCTGGTGGCGGTGCGGTCCGTGGCGTGCATCGTGGCCGTGGATGTTTACTCCCGAAATGGTGTAACACCGGACGATGGGTGTGTTTCCGACGGTCCCCGTGCGAGGCGCGATGGGGTTTTAGTGGTTGCTGTATACCGGTCGTAGCCGTGGATGAGAGCTGGGGCTTGGTGATCGCGGCCGTCCGTGGAACGGACCTAGGGTGACACTTGTTAGGTTCACATTGGCCCGGGGTAGTACACTTTGGTGTACGTTCGCTAGGTCGGTGCTGTACTTGACACCCTCACGTCGTAACCGAACGCCACGTGTCTGCATACGTGGCATCGTGGTTTTTTTGGCGAATGAACGTAACACCTTTGTGACGCGCGTGGAGGTTACCTAATATTGACAATGCCGTGACTCATGCGTGACTGAGTGGGGGATGTAAACGTGAGGTTTCTGTTACTTTCGGGTATCTGTTTTGTGACGGTTGCGTCACGGAACAGGTGACGGCCTGTTCTGGTACTTTCACCCATGACATTTCCGGACCTAAAAAAGTCACGGAAATGTGAGGTTTAAGTGATTTTTACGTCACTCTTCGGACTTGTCTTTTCCGCGATGTTACAGCTTGTTTATGCCACGCCACATTCTGTGCACGGTCTAGGTGACGCTCTTGCTGTCACGTGCGAGCAATGACTCGATCTCCATATCCCTCACCCCCTCTCGCATGTAAACCGAGCGGCGATTATCTCTTATGCACATAGTGGCTTCTGCTCTGCTCTGCTCGGTAGTGGCTTCCCAGCGTCATTTCTTCGTCTCTGTCGCCGTTATTTCTTCTACGTGCTGCGATCTCGCTTAGCAACTTGACAATCATCATTTGAATCCGAAAGAAATATCTTTTCGTTCCCAGAAATCGTCCCTCGTCGGTGGTGATTTTGTCGCGTCTGTCGAAAGCCCAGCGGTCGCTCCCCGGTAACTGGTCCGCCAATAGTTACAACGTGGCGAAGGGTAACGACGCCGCGGGAACTTGAGAGATCGGATGGACAATACTTTGTCCACTGGAGATGCGGGGAACGAGACGGAGCGGACGGACGAGATGGAGTGGGGAAACGAGTGGGAGTGGAGGCAGAAACTGAAGAAGGCGCGGAAAGCTTTAGCGGAGGCAAGACGGCGGGAAGAGGAGCTGGAAGGAGTGGTGAGGGAGGGCGAGCGGGCGATGGGGGAGCTGGAGGAGTGGATTGGGCGCAAGGTGGACGCCATGTCGTCGCTGGCTGCCGAGCTTCGCGAGGAGTGGCTGAAGGAAGCGGTGCTGTCTCGGGCCGATGGAGCACGCAAGCGCGCGCGCATGGCGGATGGCTCGCCCTCGCATCCGATGATGATGATGGAGATGAGTGCGCACGACACGCTCCACACCCACGTTAGGCCACACCACGCCGCATCATGCCATGCCAAGTTATGCAATGCCATGCCACCATGCGATGCCATGCCATGCCCTACACACATGTCACCATGCATGTCGCACGTGCAACCCCATGCCCCGTAGTACACATCCGTACTGTAAGACGGAGGTGAGCGCACGACTTATGCGATGCTATCATGTAATGCCCTAGCATGCCTTGTCCCCATCTGCAATGTCCGTCCATCCATACCTCCTCATTTTTCCCACTGTTACCCTCGTCCCGATTCCCTTATTTCTCTCACTCTCTCCCTTTTTCCCAAATCCGTCTCTCTCTACTCTTGTCTTCCTCACTCTTTGCGACCGGCATCGCCCTTCTCACCTCCCTATCTCCCTATCTCCCGTCCTTTATATCCCACCACTCTCTTTGCGCCACACCCTTGCTTCATTCCCCGCCTACATATGCTTCTGTCCGGCTCCATCTGACAGGATCTGATAAGCCTCTTCCCCCTTCCCCGGCCCCTCATCCGCTCTCAACCTCTGCACCACTCATCACACTCCCTCCCTCCACTCCTCCTGTTCCTCATACCGCCATGTCTTGCAGCGTGTAGCAACCCTCTCTGCCGATGCAGACGCCACGGTCAGCTGTGCAGGGAGTGGGGTGTACAGGCCTCGGACCGACCTGTCGTGTCCTGTTGTGCTAGTCAGGTTCGCAAATTCGAGGCAAGGAACCAATTCCTGCTCATCCGTCGCCCTCATTCCCCCACACGCCCTTTCCCTCCCTAACCCCCTTCGTCGGCGCACCCACGTGGCAGAATCTGGCAGCTCTGTCTGCCCATGCGGGGGCCATCCGTTCAATGGTGCAGGGAGTGCGGAGGCTGGCGTTCGGACTTGAGGTTCGAACGGCTCACACGGATAAAATTCAAGAGGAGAAAGAGGAAAGGGGGGAGAAGCCGCGGAAAAGGAAGAACGAGGAGAGGGGGGAGGTGCAGGAGGAGGGGGTGAGGGACGAGGCAGAGGAAACGATGAAGAGAATGGATGAGCCGATGGGAGATGGACGTGTCGGTTCCGAGAACGAGACGTGGAAGCAAGGGTTTGGGGCAGGGCCAGGGTTCAAGCAAGAGGAAGGAGCAGGCAACGAAGCAGAGGAGGAGACCAGAAACGAAGCAGAGGGAGGGGACCAGCGGGGCACAGGGTTGGCAGAGCAAGGGGCAAAGCAAGGAGCAGAGCAAGGCGCAGAGCAGAGGGCAGGGCAACGGGCAAGGCAAGACCCAGAGCAAGGGGCAGGGAAAGGGGCAGAGCAAAGCCCAGAGCAAAGCCCAGAGCAAAGCCCAGAGCAAAGCCCAGAGCAAAGCCCAGAGCAAGGGGCAGAGCAAGAGGCAGGGCAAGGGACAGGGGAGGGGCGATCGGCCGATGTGGGCAGACAGTCAACGAGGCAAGCGGTTGCAGGAGAGGTAGCTGTGCAAGAGGAGGTAGTAGTGCAAGAGGAGGTAGCAGTGCAAGAGGAGGTAGCAGTGCAAGAGGAGGTAGCAGTGCAAGAGGAGGTAGCAGTGCAAGAGGAGGTAGCAGTGCAAGAGGAGGTAGCAGTGCAAGAGGAGGTAGCAGTGCAAGAGGAGGTAGCAGTGCAAGAGGAGGTAGCAGTGCAAGAGGAGGTAGCAGTGCAAGAGGAGGTAGCAGTGCAAGAGGAGGTAGCAGTGCAAGAGGAGGTAGCAGTGCAAGAGGAGGTAGCAGTGCAAGAGGAGGTAGCAGTGCAAGAGGAGGTAGCAGTGCAAGAGGAGGTAGCAGTGCAAGAGGAGGTAGCAGTGCAAGAGGAGGTAGCAGTGCAAGAGGAGGTAGCAGTGCAAGAGGAGGTAGCAGTGCAAGAGGAGGTAGCAGTGCAAGAGGAGGTAGCAGTGCAAGAGGAGGTAGCAGTGCAAGAGGAGGTAGCAGTGCAAGAGGAGGTAGCAGTGCAAGAGGAGGTAGCAGTGCAAGAGGAGGTAGCAGTGCAAGAGGAGGTAGCAGTGCAAGAGGAGGTAGCAGTGCAAGAGGAGGTAGCAGTGCAAGAGGAGGTAGCAGTGCAAGAGGAGGTAGCAGTGCAAGAGGAGGTAGCAGTGCAAGAGGAGGTAGCAGTGCAAGAGGAGGTAGCAGTGCAAGAGGAGGTTTTTGACAATCTTTCCATGGTGCAGGTGAGCGGGCGAGGAGACGGGCGACTGGAGGGCGATTGTGAGGGGGAGTTGTGAGAGGGGCGGTTGTGAGGGGCGGTTGTGAGAGGAGCGGTTGTGAGAGGGGCGGTTGTGAGAAATTCGCGCATGAGAGAGTTGGCAACAGTCAACAGACCGTTGAAAATGTGAGTGATTCATCTCGCATGCCAAAAACACCAGGGAACTTATATCATCTTGTCTTACGGTGAGCGCATTGAAAGGGCCTCATATCAGGGACCCTCACCTGGTACTTGCCACTTGCGTACGATCCCTCTTGATAAAAGTGAAGTGTTGAGACATCTCAAAACTCCACTTGCGTACGATCCCCCTTGTTTCTGTTCGTCCTCCGTTCGTTCATTTTCCTCCCGTTGACTCGCTTTTCCTCCACTTCCGTTTCCACCTTTTCTTTTGAAGTTTTCCCTGTTCCCTCTTGCACCCCAACGCTCCCATCCCAGTTATCCTCTTATCCACACCAAGTCGTTCATGAATGCACGTCCCTCGCATTATCCCCTCGTTCCGCGCTTTCCCTGGTCTCAACCCTCCCTCGTTCTCTCCTCTTTATCCACCCCAGCCACTCATCTCTGCTGCCCACAGTGCAGGCAGCAGTGGGGGAGCGGGGGTGGATTCAGAAGGAGCGGTTACAACGAATGTGAAGGAGAGGCACGCAGACAGGGGAGGAGGGGGGGGCAGGGCGGGGAGAGCAGGGGGAACGCAGGTGAGGGCGGCGCATCAGTGGCCGCCGGTGGGTGGGAGAGCAAGCGAAGCAGAGGTGAGGGGGCGGCTGCGGAGAAGGATCGATAGTTTACTGCGCGTCCGCCCTGAAAGGCTGCAGGTTGCTACGCTACGAATCAGTTGGGTGGTGTCTCAGCTTTTGTCCCAAGACCCTGCTGCAAAAGAACTCTCCTTAAATAGGCTTTCCCTCACCTACTACCTCCATCTCACTCCCCACTGCTACCCAGACTTCCTACCATCCCTCTCCACGCTCGCACTCCGCATTGTCGACCCCGTCTCGCCATTCGCCGTGAAACAACTCCTCAGCCTGCCCTCGCTCACAGCCCTGCACTTGCACGAGACGTCCATCCGGTCAGATGCCGTGCCGCTCTTCCAGTGCATGTCTCGCCTCCAGCGCCTCGTCATTGCATGTGTTGAACCCTTTGACCTGCTTCCGAGCGGGACAGCAGCCAACCTGCCCCCATCGTCTAACCCCGTCAGTGAACTCCGGCCAGTTCAGCCGTTTGAGAGCTTGAGGGAGCTGCATGTGAGCCGGGTGACTGACTCGATTCTGCAGCAGGTTGGGGTGCTGACGAGTCTTGAGGTCCTATCCTGCACGTGCAGCAAGGGGGTGAGTTCCAGGGGATGGATGCACCTCAGGAGACTGGTGAACCTGAAGAGGCTGCAACTGGCGCCAACAATCCTCCTTAAGAACCTGGGATCAAACGACCACCACTTCGGAGGAGACTTCCGGCACCACCACTTCGGCCCCAAGCTACACTTGCACGAAATTTGCTTGCCAGAGATCGTCAGAACCTTCCAACGGCCTCCCAAGAAAGGGGCTGCCGCTGCAAGTGAAGACCCCGGCAACTGCATCGACGGGAGCATATGGGAGGTGGTAGGCGCCCTGCCGGGCCTGGAGCACCTGGAGGTGCACGCAGCCGAGCCCAGCAGCACAGCAGTGAGATCCGTCTCCAACATCAGGCAGCTCAAAACCCTCCGCATCACCGGCACTCTGCTTGACGATTCTGACCTGCTGGGCTTGAGAGGCCTCTCGCTGCTCACCGACCTCAGCCTGGCTGCCTGCACGTTCGCAGCAGACCGGGCTGTGAGGTCGGTGATTCAAGGCATGACTCAGCTGCAGTCGCTGGACCTATCGGGAACGGCCATCAGCCAAGGCGCTGCTGTGCACCTGCGAGCACTTAAGCGGCTGGAGCGGTTGAAGCTGCAGCAGTGCAGCGGCATGAGCAGGCTGTTTGTGCAGTGTCTCAGTTGTGTTTCTGCGCTGAGGGAGCTGGATCTGGGCTGCAACAACATGCAGCACGGTTGGCTGCTGCCCGTCCTGGAAGGGAAGAAGGTGACTCGGCTTAGGGTAGGGGGCTGCGGGTTTGTGGAGAGAACGTTGCGTGGGCTTCCACGGGCTTGGATCGAGATTGACTCAGAATGGGATGACGATTGATGCGGGGATGCATCCATCATATGGGTTTTTTCGGCATGGGGTGCAGAAGGACCTGCATTTGAGTCGGTTGAATTGTAAGGTGCTTTAGTGGTGGTACCGTAAGACCGCACGCAAACTGGTAGCTGTGGTATTAGGGGGGTTTTGTTCTGTTATTCACAACTGTGTAATCTACTGTAATCCCCCGTACATAAGACCCGTAAGTATTAAGCACAATGAAGATTGAAACAGTGAATATTACACGAAAACTACATCGTCCAGTGTGTGTGCATGTGCTTGTGCGTGTGTCTTCATTGTCAGAAAATAAGGTTAAGCACTCAATCTCTAAATATCAGCCCACAGTTGCGTCAACCCATCACTCGATCGGCCCCTCGGACCACAAGCTGCTATCAAACAACCCCGTGGTGCTGTTCTCCCCACCACCACCACCAACGAACGCCCTCTCCCTCTCCACACGCGGGCTGGCTTGGGAATCATCGGGGCCGTCATCAGCACAGTACTGGGCGAGCAGGCCGTGCAGGCGGCGGGCAACATCGCGCATGGAGGGGCGGCGGGAGGCGGGCATCTTGAGGCAGTCCAGCGCCACGTCTGCGAAACCAACGATGGCTTCATCTGGCGCTTCCAGCGTGGGGTCCTTGAGCACTCCCAGCTCGTACTGCTGGACCTTCTGCGCTGCCTGCAGCATGGACGAAGAGGGAAATGAGGGAGGATTAACTGAGGTGAACGATGGTATCATCAGGAGCATCCAGTGTGGGGTCCTTTAGCACACCCACCTCGTACTGCTGGACCTTCTTGGATGCCTGCAGAACAACCAAGTGAGATCACGGAAGGGGCAGTTATGGGTGAGGGCCTGAGACGATGGCGGCCTCTGGAACTTCCAGCGTGGTGTCCTGGAGCACACCCAGCTCGTACTTCTGTACCTTCTGCGTTGCCTGCAGCACGTGCTACGAGGTAGAGCAAGCGGTTGAGAAGGTGGTTGTTGCGGCGAGTGTGAGTGACAAGGTGAACAGCGAAGCAAGGTCACGTAGGGGGAAGTTATGGGTTAGAGCCTGAGAGGGTTAGCCTGCATTCCACTATCTTTGTCTGATCAACTGCAATGCCTGTGTGACTGACCCAGTCGCTGATGTGGCTGTCGGTGCCCTCCACTGCTGCCTTGCGCCTTGTCAGCAGCTCCAGCAGCACCACCCCGAAGCTGCACAGCCAGAGCAGGCGAGGGGATGAAGGTGATGCCAAAAGCAGTAGCAAGACAAGGGTATTGGTTGGCTCTGGATACTCTACTCCACACCACAGGCCTTTGCTGACAGCATGGAAGCAGCAGGTACATTACAATAGGTGAGTAAATGATAACAGCTGTTTCACTTTACCATGCCAAGACAGAGCAACTTCAATTCGGCACTACAGACATGAGCGCACCTGTGGATGAATGCTTTTCATACAACCCCTGTCTGCAACAATAATCAGCTCCAGATATTTCAAAGATACTTTCCAAGACCCTAACAGACCAGTGCAGCGGGTGCACCTGTAGGCGTCGCTCTTCTCCGACACCACGTGCGTGCGGTTGTAGTCCGGATCCAGGTACCCCGGCGTGCCTGCCACGCGCGTGCGCTCGTCGCCCCCGTCAGCGTGACTAAGCAGCTTGAGCAGCCCAAAGTCGGCGATCTTGGCCTGGCTGTGCTCTCCAACAAGGATGTTCCCCGGCTTGAGGTCACGGTGGATGATGGGCACCGTGAAGCTGTGCAGGTACGCCACTCCCTCTGCTGCCCCCGCTGCCAGCTTCAGCCTCTGCTGCAAGGTCAGTGGGGCTGGGGAGGAAACGGAACAGTTGGAGGAGGGAGAGACTAGAGTGGGAAGAGGTGGGGGAAAGTGACAAGGAGGCGGCAAAGTAAGGGGGAAGCTGGAGCATAAACAGGGAGTTGAGCAGGGAGGAGAGAAGAAAGAAAGTTGGTCTGCGCTGTGAGGCAAATTGAGTGAGTGCGTGAAGTGGATGTGAATTCAGTTAGTGCTTGTGCAATGCAAGGTATGCCTTGACACGACAAGGCATGCAGAAGGCAGAAAGCAGGTGTTATAAAGGATATGGGACATGGTGCAAGCGACATGTGACGAGTGACATGTTACGGGGGATGCGAGGAACACTCAACATGCAACAGGAGAGCAGCCGGTACTGGGTCATTGCAGGGCTCGCGCACTTGGCGTGGCGGATGTGATCTTTGAGGTCCCCGTGTGGCACATGGTACAAGAACCTGCTTCCAATCCTGCTCTCCATGCACGGGCTATGGTCCAGTACACTCAGCGCACAAAGGGACCTTCGGCACTCACAGTTGGAGTGGTGGATGTGGAGCTTGAGGTCCCCATGGGGCACATACTCGTACACCAACACCTGCTCCTGCCGCCCGCTCTCCACGCTCTGGTGCAGGCAGAAGCCCAGCAGCCGCACCACGTTCTCATGCCGCAACGACGCCATCGCCCGCACCTGACACGGGCAGGGGGGCAGGAAGAAGAGTGGGGGTTACTCTGACCATATTGTGGTGCTCTCGTTAAGGTTGAGTTAATTGGACGGGAAACGAGCTCTGTGGAATGCTAAAGGGTTCATTTCGCCCCCTTTATGAGACGCCTCAAAAGTCACCAACTCCGCAAGCCGCCCCCCCCACCTCGTTCTCGAAGTCGTTGGACATGAGGCTAATGCGCTTGACGGCCCACAGCTCGCCAGTGGGTGCCACGCCCTTGTAAACCGTGGCAAAGCCCCCCTTCCCCACCACGTTGGCGCTCGCCCAGTTGTCCGTGGCACGTAGGATGTCTGCCATGCTGAACTCCCTACACACGTCCAGGCCGGCCCACCTCCCTGGCAGGTGGAGCAACGAAAGGGACAATGATTAAGACAGAACAAGAGACACCTTCTGAGGCGCCTCAGAAGACGTCCAGGCCACTCCACCTCCCTTGCGAATGGAGCAACGTAAGGGACAACAGTAGTGGCAGAAGGAGAGAGGAGCATGTATGCCATGCCAAACTCTCCACACACATCCACGGCAGGCCACCTCCCTGGCGGACAAACTACGGCGTGGATACGAACGAATATGAGAGAGAATGCGAGAGATCATGAGAGAAAGCATGCGAGAGAGAATGAGAGACACCATCAGAGACCGAGAGAATGAAAAACTGAGCGAGTGAAAGAACCGGAGACATCATGAGGAGGGAGGGAAGGGAGAAGGGGAGGAAGGGACAGGGGGGGGAAGAGACGGGGGGAGCAAGGGGAAATGGGAGCAAGAGCAAGTGGGAGGAAGGGAAAGTGGGAGGGAGGGAAATTGGGCGCAGGGAAAGGGGAAGGGAAAGTGGAAGGAAGGGACAGTGGGAAGAAGGCCGAATAAAACGGAGAATCGAACGAAAGGACATTAAGAGAAAGTGGGAGGGACTGACTGCGCTGTTTGGGCCAGATCACGACGACGACGAGAGCGAGGAGGAGGGCAAGAGCAGCAGCAGAGCCCACGGCGATGCCCACCAGTGCGCCGGTGGAGAGCGCTGGAGGGGATGGGATGGGAAGGGCAGAAGTTACAACGGAGGGTCGAGTCAAGAATGTGGGGGGGATTAAGGGGATTTGCATGCACAGAAGATGGAGAGGGCGAGAAAGAGACCTTTCGTGCGTGAGGGTTGCTCTTTGTGGGTCCCATCCTGTCCATCCCAGCCCGAGAAACATGTGGTTGAGGTGATATGGTTCCAGCGTCCTGAACATCACCTTCCACAAAACCAAATTCACTGTGCTGTGCCCTATAGAGCCACAAGCACTCTGCCAGGCTCATAAGCCAGCGGCGGGTGATCATACATACACATACAAGCACTCTGCCAGACACATACATACATGAGGACGGGGGCAGGGGCGGGCGAGCACACGTGGGACCAGAGCTGCCATTGACCGCCACGTACCCCTCCTCGCACTCACACACGAACCCCACCTCCCCCGGCCCCGTTGCCTGCACCGGCACACATGCCCCGTGCCCGTCGCATGTCCCCAGATCCTCCGACAGGCTGCAGAAGCCACGGCACTCCGCAGCGCTGCGCTGTGTCTCATTCGCCGTGCAGCTCTGCTGCTCGCCCACACTGAAGCAGTTGTCCCGAAGGCTCGCTTGGCCTTGCTTGTTGGCAGCTGAGCGTTCAAAGACAAGAGTTGTAAAATCATTGAGTGCACAGCGGCCACTTCCACCATTTGTGAGGCTAACCAAATCCAACGCACGGGTTTGGTTGATTTCCGAGGGGCAGAACTGGCAGCCGTCGGCGAAGAGTATGGGCTGACCGTAGAAGTAGTTGACTGCAATATTGAGCAGCGCACCCCTGTTGGGAATCATGCCGCGGAAGTTGGTGTGCATTGGGCCGTAGAAGCTGTTGTTGCTGATGTCACTGGGGATGGTGGCGTTAGGGATGGGGAATGACACAAGAGTGAGGTATGTGTTTGGCATGTTTGACCCTCTGCCATGCTGGTTTCGAGCGGAACAGCTCAAGGTTCCAGCCAGCAGGGCTGCTGTGAACGAAAACATTCCAAGAGCATCACACGAACACAAGGAAAGAACAAACATTCAAGCGCCATGCGGTGCAAGCAGTGCTCACATGCGGTGCAAGCAGTGCTCACATGCGCTGCAAGCAGTGCTCACATGCGGTGCAAGCAGTGCTCACATGCGGTGCAAGCAGTGCTGATAAAGACACGAGGGGAACTCTCCGTAGAAGCGGTTGTTATGGAGGAACCTGAAGAGGGGTGGGAAGCGGTTGCTATGGAGGAATCTGAGGGGGGTATGACAATTGACGGGACGCTCTTGAAACTGCAACGCGGAATTAAGCCGTGGTGATGTAAGACCGCGAAGTGGTTTAACCACTCCCCCAAAGTACTCTGAGCTGCTTGAAAATCAAAAGCATCGTTTTCCTGAGCCAATTAGAAAACACGCAATATAAACAGTTTGCTGTGCGGCTTACATGCATGGTATGCATCTGTGTGAGGTTTACATGGTATGCATCTGTGTGAGGTTTACATGGTATGCATCTGTGTGAGGTTTACATGGTATGCATCTGTGTGAGGTTTACATGGTATGCATCTGTGTGAGGCTTACATGGTATGCATCTGTGTGAGGTTTACATGGTATGCATCTGTGTGAGGCTTACATGGTATGCATCTGTGTGAGGTTGCAAATGGAGGGCGGTAGCTTGCCCGTGAGCTGGTTGTCATGCACCAACCTGCCCCCATGCATGCAGCAGCAGTCGTTTCATGTTGATGGGTTGAGAGGAGGTAGAAAGGTAAACATTCAACGCCCTCTCCAAGGGCACAAGAGCAAAGCATCAGTCAGTGAGTGATCACATGTGAGCAAAACCCTCGCACGAGCATTGCTGGCATGGACACTCATGGTAGCACAGCACACCAGCTTTGGAGCAGTGGCATGAGTGGCATGAGTGGCATGAGTGGCATGAGTTGCATGAGTGGCATGAGTGGCATGAGTGGCATGAGTGGCATGAGTGGCATGAGTGGCATGAGTGGCATGAGTGGCATGAGTGGCATGAGTGGCATGAGTGGCATGAGTGGCATGAGTGGCATGAGTGGCATGAGTGGCATGAGTGGCATGAGTGGCATGAGTGGCATGAGTGGCATGAGTGGCATGAGTGGCATGAGTGGCATGAGTGGCATGAGTGGCATGAGTGGCATGAGTGGCATGAGTGGCATGAGTGGCATGAGTGGCATGAGTGGCATGAGTGGCATGAGTGGCATGAGTGGCATGAGTGGCATGAGTGGCATGAGTGGCATGAGTGGCATGAGTGGCATGAGTGGCATGAGTGGCATGAGTGGCATGAGTGGCATGAGTGGCATGAGTGGCATGAGTGGCATGAGTGGCATGAGTGGCATGAGTGGCATGAGTGGCATGAGTGGCATGAGTGGCATGAGTGGCATGAGTGGCATGAGTTGGATGAGTGGCATGAGTGGCATGAGTGGCATGAGTGGCATGAGTGGCATGAGTGGCATGAGTGGCATGAGTGGCATGAGTGGCATGAGTGGCATGAGTGGCATGAGTGGCATGAGTGGCATGAGTGGCATGAGTGGCATGAGTGGCATGAGTGGCATGAGTGGCATGAGTGGCATGAGTGGCATGAGTGGCATGAGTGGCATGAGTGGCATGAGTGGCATGAGTGGCATGAGTGGCATGAGTGGCATGAGTGGCATGAGTGGCATGAGTGGCATGAGTGGCATGAGTGGCATGAGTGGCATGAGTGGCATGAGTGGCATGAGTGGCATGAGTGGCATGAGTGGCATGAGTGGCATGAGTGGCATGAGTGGCATGAGTGGCATGAGTGGCATGAGTGGCATGAGTGGCATGAGTGGCATGAGTGGCATGAGTTGGATGAGTGGCATGAGTGGCATGAGTGGCATGAGTGGCATGAGTGGCATGCATGAGTGGCATGAGTGGCATGAGTGGCATGAGTGGCATGAGTGGCATGAGTGGCATGAGTGGCATGAGTGGCATGAGTGGCATGAGTGGCATGAGTGGCATGAGTGGCATGAGTGGCATGAGTGGCATGAGTGGCATGAGTGGCATGAGTGGCATGAGTGGCATGAGTGGCATGAGTGGCATGAGTGGCATGAGTGGCATGGCATGAGTGGCATGAGTGGCATGAGTGGCATGAGTGGCATGAGTGGCATGAGTGGCATGAGTGGCATGAGTGGCATGAGTGGCATGAGTGGCATGAGTGGCATGAGTGGCATGAGTGGCATGAGTGGCATGAGTGGCATGAGTGGCATGAGTGGCATGAGTGGCATGAGTGGCATGAGTGGCATGAGTGGCATGAGTGGCATGAGTGGCATGAGTGGCATGAGTGGCATGAGTGGCATGAGTGGCATGAGTGGCATGAGTGGCATGAGTGGCATGAGTGGCATGAGTGGCATGAGTGGCATGAGTGGCATGAGTGGCATGAGTGGCATGAGTGGCATGAGTGGCATGAGTGGCATGAGTGGCATGAGTGGCATGAGTGGCATGAGTGGCATGAGTGGCATGAGTGGCATGAGTGGCATGAGTGGCATGAGTGGCATGAGTGGCATGAGTGGCATGAGTGGCATGAGTGGCATGAGTGGCATGAGTGGCATGAGTGGCATGAGTGGCATGAGTGGCATGAGTGGCATGAGTGGCATGATGGCATGAGTGCCTGAGTGGCATGCATGAGTTGGCATGAGTGGCATGAGTGCATGGTGTCATGAGTGGCATGAGTGGGCATGAGTGGGCATGAGTGCTGATGGCATTGAGTGGCATGAGTGGCATGAGTGGCATGAGTGGCATGAGTGGCATGAGTGGCATGAGTGGCATGAGTGGCATGAGTGGCATGAGTGGCATGAGTGGCTAGTGGGCATGAGTGGCATGAGTGGAATGAGTGCATGAGTGGCATGAGTGGCATGAGTGGCATGAGTGGCATGAGTGGCATGAGTGGCATGAGTGGCATGAGTGGCATGAGTGGCATGAGTGGCATGAGTGGCATGAGTGGCATGAGTGGCATGAGTGGCATGAGTGGCATGAGTGGCATGAGTGGCATGAGTGGCATGGTGCTGAGTTGGCATGAGTGGCATGAGTGGCATGAGTGGCATGAGTGGCATGAAGTGGCATGAGTGGCATGAGTGGCATAGTGGCATGAGTGGCATGAGTGGCATGAGTGGCATGAGTGGCATGAGTGGCATGAGTGGCATGAGTGGCATGAGTGGCATGAGTGGCATGAGTGGCATGAGTGGCATGGCAGGAATGACGTCATTGGCATGAATGGCTTGCTTGTGAATGCAGGGGCCTGCATGGGCATGCTTGGGTATGCATGGGGATGCATGAGCATGCGTGCATATGCATTACAAGACAAAGAGTTTGGAGAGAGCCCCCAGGGTAGAAGGCAACGACCCCGAGATGTTGTTGGAAGACAGGTCTCTGTGAATAGACGGGATGGGTGACAATATAAGATACACCTGGCACGTGATGATCTAGTGATGGATGACTCTTTTAACTCCCAGTGTGGAACAAAAAGGGAGTGACTAACTGAAGTGCTGGTAAACGGGAAGAGATGTGAAGCACATTACATGGCTTGAAGGTTTGGTACAGCAGGGAGCAGAGCTGACGGGATGGTCCCTGAGAGCTGGTTGTTGCGCAAGGAACTGCAGGATTGGTGGGTGGTGGGTGGTGGGTGGTGGATGGTGGATGGTTTATGGATGGAAGGGTCCAGTTCAGCCATAAGAAAGACGAGAGACGACCACAAATAGTGTCCTTCCATTGGTTAAAATCCATTACAATTGAAGTTCAACTGGATGATTGCTTTGCCTGTAAAGGGCCTGCAGCATTCAAGCATAGTATTGAGTCGACTCATAACGGAAATCAAAGTAGCGTGTAGCCAAGCTATGTTGCACTATACGCTAAGGCTTCGACGCGTATCACGTTTGTACGGAAACGTATATACGAAAAAACGTGATACGTCCATAATACGCGATACGGCTAGGTCGGGCAGCCCAAAAAAAAAAACTCAAAACTATGTTCCGCCGTTCTCGCGATCTGCGATTCTGTGAAACCTAAATTTGACATTCGAGACACGAATTGATCCCCCACCCCCCTTTTCCACTGCACATCACCGCACACCACCTCCCAAACCCAACCTTTCCCTCCCACCCACCACTAGCAGCTGGCAGCTTTCCGTACAACAGCCTTTCGTATCTCAATTGTCTCACACCTATTTTACTCTACGATGTAGCTTCAAACAGCTATGTCGACCGCCAATGCCGCATCTGTTATTGCTAATTGTGGCTGAAGCGTCACATTGCAGGATCTTCGCGGCCGAAATTTCAGGGTGATTCTGGCCAACAATTCCTCAAACATTTCAGAGTTCCTTATCGCAAAAACGTCCAGGAGATTATCCGCATCAGCGAGCATCTAGGAAAAAAGAAAACCACCGTGGCAAAATCACAATGAACATAGGCAACACGACTCACCCCTCTGACACTATTTTTCCCCTGCCCGACACTTTTTTCCCTCTGCCCGGGCGAACGTATTTGGAGCGTATCCTGGGGCGGAAATCCCCCGTTTCACGTTCGTACGTAAGCGTATAAGTCGAACGCGACTGATACGCGAATCGCGTATAGTGCAAAGTAGCCAAGGTCTATTGCGGTTCATATAAATCTCAAGTCGGCCACGGTCACTCCAGAAAATCGATATCCAAAGCTCAGCTCGTTCATGGCTTTCCCAAGCCAAACCTCGATCCGGAAATCCGCTCATACCTAGTGCAATTATCATTTCGGTCTGAGCATGTTGGCTCTTTCTTTCCAGCAATAAGACAAACATATGTGTAAGCCAAAGCAGGCATGATATGCTCACACTATGCCATTACAGGCGTCGCATATCAAGCTTGCTCACTCACATGACAGATACAGACGTAAGCACACTGATGGACTCCCCAATGGACCCTGTGAAGCGGTTCTCGCCTAGAAGCCTGCGATTGTAAGGATTGATCGAAAATACTGAATCCATCACATGACACATTGTAGACGGGAATGTCCTACCCTTGTGACTGGTACTAGCTCGCTCATGGTTTCTAAATGGAGAGACAGCATGTGCCTGAGATTGAAGATGATATTGAAGCCGAGCCGACCACTTAGCGGATTCCTAGGAAAGAAGATATAATCCTGATCATGGGAAAGAGCATGAGTTTAAATAGCGATCCTTCGGATAAGGGATAGATAGAAAGTGAAGGTGACTAGTCACAACGTTGGGCCCTAGCTTTGCACTTATCAGCACGGGCACGTATGGTAGTGCAACTTACAGCCTGTCTATTGACGTGGTCCATTGAGCAAAATCAGGAAGGGGGCCCGATAGCTGATTGCCTTGAATGTTCCTGCCAAGCAGATAGTTCATACAGAACATACAAGTGTAGTTTTACAAATATATATCCATGTGATACAAAAGGAAAGATTGAAAACCCATTCTACTAGATTGTATCATTCAAAAGGCTCAGATCGTACAAGAGGCTCAGATCGTACAAGAGGCTCAGATCGTACAAGAGGCTCAGACCCGCAGTAGACAATCTCCTGGGTAGACTGCCACTCAGATTGTTGTACTCCAGATTCCTGAGGGTTAGCAGCAATGTGTGAAACAGACAACGCAAGCCACAGAAAGGGACCAAAGAGGCGAAGTGAACGAGTGCCTCCCAGGTGGGAGTGGGCACCGTGTACAGTTACACTGCTACCACTGCATGGGGAAGTCTAAGAAGTAGTAGACTCAACCCAGTCTAAGAAACAACCAAGCGTTCCTAAAGTCCCACAGAAAGTTGGCCCAGGAAAGCACACTTATGGAAGACATGGGGTGGATGGGGCAAGGACGACGAGAGAAGAGGCAACAGGCAGGAGGAAGCAGCGGCAGCGAGCATATGGCCCTCAAGCCCTCAAGCTCTCCCTCACAGTTCGACTAGTGGGAGTGAGTAGAGTGCCAAGGGGGCTTCACCGTGGAAGTTATTTGGACCAAGTGTCCTGTTGCAGAAAAGCGGAGAGGGAGGAATGTGGGTGAGGTGGGGAGTAACTTGGCGACTTCTCTTAGCACCTGCTGGGCAGTTGCAGAACGGTCGGCCGTGCAACATGCACGAGAATGTGTGCTGTGGGGTAGCCACTCATGTGTATGTGTGCAAGCACTCATGACATGAGGTAGTTCCCCAATGTGTTGGTTGCATACAATACATACAGCAGTGCACTCCCAGACGGGGCTAGATTTAACTCTGTTTTCACATGTCCCCTCATCACAGTGCCACTCCTTTAGAGATGTCACGAACTACCATACCATGCATGCATCCCAACTTGTGCTGCCCACCCACCCAACACATCAATGTCTAGGAGTATTTACCACCAATCAGCACAGGCGATTGCCTCACATGTTCATGGCATGGCAGACTCATTATATGTGAGTTTCTCATAAGAACTAAAGGGCATCGACTGCAAGTGGGACAGAAGACCTTGATGTGGTTGTCATTGGAACTTGGATGGATAAACCAGTGACAAATGATTGTAATGAGGAGACTCCAAGACTCCACACAGACAGGTTCAGTTGGAATTACAGCACTATTGTACACCCAACAAAGCTGTGTACATCCACACTACACTACTACACTGGCCTGGAAAACTATATAATTGCTTCCTACCATTCTTACTGGTTCATGAGACTAGGGCAGGCAGATACACACCACAACACAACTGATATAAGGGTACAAATATAGTAAGGCAGCACAACTGAAAGCTTTTCACCATCCTTACTCACTTACGTACCTGCTTATCTTGACACAGCCCTCTCGACACTTACCGCCTTCCCTCGTGTGTGAACAGTAGTGGCAAATCGTAGACGTAGAGCTGAGCTTGCGTTGAGCCGGTGAAGCAAGTGGACTCACAGATACATCATGTTTGTCAGTCGTGATATCTCACGGGGAATCGTTCCCTCAAACGCGTTCCGACCAATGTCTCTGCAAAAAAGCATACACCCGTCCCGTGTGTGCACCCATGCGGCTAGTGAGAGAGTTGCTGCATCGTGAGCAGTTGAGTTTGGCCAACGGAACCGAGCATCCAAAGACTAGCGAGTTCGTACGTCGGATTAGCGCTACGGTTTCACAGCTACAGAGGAAACGCCAGAGGAGATGGTTATTTCTCAATAAAGTAAGACGGATTGAGGTTTGGGTGATTCCATGCGCTTCACATGTCCTTTTCCAAACAAAGCAGCTGAAGCTACGGGGCGCTGAATGAACACAGACGTTTGTTCAACATAACACCAGGACGCAGGATTCACAATAACAAAACAAGCAGCCATGAAAGGCTTACAATGATGCAAGTCCGGTGAGGGCCAGAAGAACAGAAGGGAATGGTCCTGTGAATTTGTTGGCACCGAGACCCCTGCAGCATCATCGGGATACATACGGAGCACAGCAACAAGAAGGAACAACGCGAATTGACCCGACCCGGCCCGAATTGACCCAACCCGACCCGATCTGGGTGTGGCAGACCTGAGCCGGATCCAAATCCACTGCTTCCTTGACCCGACCCGGGTCTAGGGTGGTCAGGTCGGAAGTGACTCAAACTAAAATTGGGTGGACACCAACCCAATTCAGGTTTAATACGTGTTCCTTACTGTTTTTTTTTTTTTTCTTTTTCCTTTTAGAGAATGTAAACAGTATTGCATTGGAGATTGTGGACACCTCAAATAAAATAACGATGAGTCACAGCAAGCAAAATGATCAGAGGCAGTTCACTTACAAGCGTGTCGAGATTTAAAGGCACAATGAGAGAAGTCCGATTGCAAATCATCGCCTACAACCCTTACAGCTCACATGCATCATCCCGTCTAGCATAGAACGACCCGATGTCAAGTCAGGTCGGCTGGATCTACTGGGGGGTAGAAAATGAGAAGTTTGGTCTTGGTTCGACCCATCCCGAGATTAGAATACCAGCCTGACCCGTCACGACTCACACCTGTGACCAGACCCGGTCAAAAAGAGGGCCGACCTGACCCGTCGCTCCTGCCTACTAAGAACACTTGCAGGACAAATGGAAGCTACCAGTGAAACGACGAGTGACTCACAACATCGAAAGTGAAGGCAGAGATACCAGACTCGATAAACCACTCGAAAACATGTTGTATGAAATTTCCCTGCAATGACATGTGACAGCAAGCGTGCATTCCACTTCGGTAATAAATGTTGGCAATTTTTCGATTCGGTTCGACGGTAAACGATCGGGCGCTTGCACAAACATGAAAAGGTTTGTGTTTTCACCCACACCTTCACACCACCTTCGTGTTTCAACAACAGCTTCGCACTGGCGAACTGGCAAGTAAACCAATATGCACCCTTGCTCTAAGGGCTGACAGACAGCATGGAAATGAGGTTATGTTACTTATTTGATACATAACCTGTTTCAGCCCTTTTTTCATCACCATATTATGAGTTTTCTTAAGAGAATACATCCAATATTGGAAGCGTCTGTATTGAGGCACTCACAATGAGACCAGCCATGTCATTTTGCCGATGACATCAAGCCCCGAAGTTAGCTGGTTAAAATAGGGCGCCCTGAAGCAATGTTAACACACAGAACAGAACAGCACAGGTAAAATTATTTGGGGTCACATTGTACTGTGCTCTTGCCAGAGAACAGAAGAACAAAAACAACAACAGCAAACAAAATGTGAGTGTGAGTGTGAGCGTGAGCGCGAGAGCGCGCGCGCTCGCGCGCGCTCGCGCGCGCGTGCGTGAGTGTGCGCGTGCGTGCGTGCGTGCGTGCGTGCGTGCGTGCGTGCGTGCGTGCGTGTGTGCGTGTGTGTGTGTGTGTGTGTGTGGGTGTGTGTGTGTGTGTGTGTGTGTGTTTATTTTTTATTTTATTTTTATTTTTTATCATCAGCAGCACCTCAGGACCCATGAGAGGCCAGCCATCCTTACCATTCTTGCAGATTGATGAGGTTCGTGAAGGAAGAAGGTACATTCCCCGTGAAGTTGTTATGATCGAAGTTCCTTGAGGCACAACAATTCAACACATCACAAACTTCAGATGCACAAACACGAGCGAGTGCCCATGAAAGGGGAAGAACATAGTATTGAAGCACAGCTAGCACTTTTATCCTTTTGCAAAAGGTAAGGAAAGAATTGCATCCGAGACTAATACCTATGACTTACAGAGTTGAGAGGGCAGAGAGGGTACCAATGAAGGGAGGAATGACTCCAGAGAAGCTGTTTCTTGCAACGTCACTAGGGGCAAAAAGGGGAGAAAGGCACTCAGAAATTCCAGACGAGAGTGTGTTTAAATCATCCCATGACAAGCTAGACTTATTTGGTGGGGTTAGACACACAGACGGCAACGTTACCACTGTAGTTAAGCCAGCCCATCTCTTCTCTTTGGACAGCCCCGGGCCAGCACGTCACTGTTGATGTTTCTGGGCCAGGGTCAGCCCATTCTCATGCTTACAGCAACGTCCGTAGCTTGGGTAGGTAGGTGCTTGGGTACAGTGATGTGATCACCCGAAAGATACAACAGTCAATGATTTTGGTGAGCCCCAGTCGGGTTTGCACCGCACCTATTCCCATCCCATCCATTCCCCAGCCTGCCTGGCCTCGGAGAGAGGCAAATGTGACAATGTCGGCAGCTTTAACTTGTCACGTAGAAGAAATTTCTATGGTGACCCAGCCGCCCACAGCCGGCAGCTGGCATTATCCCATCAGCTCAATGCCGACAGGCTTTCCATCTGCTCGATTTGGGGGGTTCTATATATTAGCTTGTCGATTCATCCCATGGCCGCCACATCTGCGCAGGCCTTGAACGGTGTATCCTTAATCCATCTTCGATAAGCAGGGACACAGCCAGTTAGGGTCGTAGACTCGTTTTCTATGACGGGTTGGTCCTTCTTGTGCGACCAACCAAAGCAGTTTGCTTGGCTTGTGAGCTTACCAGCAACATGAGCACTACGGTCGGCCCCTTATGGGCCAAACAAATCCCTAACAACATCCGCAACTGATAAGAATCTCTATATTTTAGCCATGTCCCTTCCTCCCTTGATTACACCACACCAGAGACCCTCTTGGCTTGTTTGCACCAACAACAAGCTTGAAATCCAGGTTTCAACCACCTTCACAGTCAACATCTGACTTGGCTGCTGACTGATCAACTCAATGAATAACGAAGCGTAGCGCAATCATGCAATGCATGGTGGGTCAAGGTAAAGAATCAAACCACACACACGAGGAGCAAGAGCAAGGGAGTGCAAGCGGGAGGGTCAAGGATGTGTACATGTAGTTGAGAGTCGTGTAGAAAACGGGCGGGATAGTGCCGTCCATACTGTTGAAAGTTAAGATCCTGCATCATGGTTCAAGGACTCACGGAAAGAAGACGGTGGTTCTATGTGCATGAGGAGGTGAATGGATCCCAAGAGAAGCACAGGGCTACAATGAAGAAGCGGACACTAGGATGATCATGTGACCCCAATGGGATTATTATCCACTACCACACTACCCATGTCGACACCAGCAAGAAAGTGTGCCATCTATGCTTGCGTAGCCCTGCATGAGCCGGGGTGACTTTTGAGTCGACTCAAAAGCCATGATAACGAGGTGACTTTTGAGTCGACTCAAAAGCCATGATAACGAGGTGACTTTTGAGTCGACTCAAAAGCCATGATAAGGAGCTGACTTTTGAGTCGACTCAAAAGCCATGATAACGAGGTGACTTTTGAGTCGACTCAAAGTGTGCCATTTACGCTTGCGTAGCCCTGCATGAGCCGGGGTTCATGGCGGGCTTGGCAGGCTCATCACGAGATTGAGGGGGCACAATCTTTCCCTCCAGGCTCCAGCTCATGAGGAGATTTTGATATAGTATTTCATATAATATATCTGCGCGCAAACTATGCACTTCCCTGAAGTTTTGGGAGAAAATCAGCATTGTAGGCGGAAACCCTTTGACTTTTGAAACGGAACCATGAAGGGGTTAACGTAGGCTAAAATTTTGTGGCTGAAATTGACGAGCCAAAAGTGTGGTTCGACCGACCGTTGTTGCGAGCCACACTGTGTTGATTACAGCCACGGTGTATGGCTTGTCAAATAAGAGGTTCGAGAGAAGCTCAGCTCAGCCTGTTTCTGTAGCTCAGCCATGTATCTGACGTCGAGAGAGCCATTACCCAACTATGTAGTTTAACAGGTGGTGGATATATATTGTGATGATGTGGAAACAGCATACCTTGACCATCTACACATTATCTCTCTCTCCCAATACATGAGGCAAAGCAGCCACTACCTTTTGTTCCTTGCAGGATTGATAAAATCGTTTTCACTACACCAATGAAAGCCTTGCCTTGGAGATTAAAGCATTGGATGAAAACCCAGTCACTGGATGTCATGAAATGGCCATGATAACTTACAGTGTGCTCAATGTCGTTAGGCCAGAAAACGTTGACGGAATGGAGCCTTCAATCTTGTTATAGCTAAGCGATCTGTAGTCACTCGAACATGCAGTTTGTGTTGGGTGAAAACATGGTGCACCACGACATAGAAAAAACCATAAGAAATTAAATAGAAAAACAAAAAAAAAGTGGGAGGCTCATTCAAATCAGATTACAAAGAGTAAGATCAGGCAACTAGTCGCAAGGAGTGTGAGTAGAATGGTAAGCGATGAGAAAGAACAAAAAGTAGCTGCTGGAACAACACATGAGGCGCACAGGTAGGTAAGATGCTTCAAGGAGGTCCAGTAGTCGGGAAGTGCTCCACTCAGCCCATTGCCTGATGCATCACTGCCACACCACTCAAGGATGGAACAGAAATACACGCTTTTGTTCACAATGGTGAGGTAAGCTACGCAGCTTGGTAAACAGTCAAAATTATGCCATTCTTCACCGTTTACCCGTCCGCTCACATGAACATGAACCATTCACAATCTTCTATTGTGAAGTGCTCCAAACGACAAAGTATTGGCCAAGCATCTCAATATCATCAATGTCATCATCTACAGTTCCACCCACCCCTACCCATGAGCAGCAGCGGCCCTGCTTGTATCTCTTTTGGAAATTCTTCTGGACCTGCCCCAGCCATATGCTCATGCCTGCTACTCGTCCTCAACCTCGCAGTGGTGTAACATCGCAGTGGTGTAACATCGCAGTGGTGTAACATCGCAGTGGTGTAACATCGCAGTGGTGTAACATCGCAGTGGTGTAACATCGCAGTGGTGTAACATCGCAGTGGTGTAACATCGCAGTGGTGTAACATCGCAGTGGTGGAACATCGCAGTGGTGTAACATCGCAGTGGTGTAACATCGCAGTGGTGGAACATCGCAGTGGTGTAACATCGCAGTGGTGTAACATCGCAGTGGTGGAACATCGCAGTGGTGGAACATCGCAGTGGTGTAACATCGCAGTGGTGTAACATCGCAGTGGTGTAACATCGCAGTGGTGGAACATCGCAGTGGTGGAACATCGCAGTGGTGTAACATCGCAGTGGTGTAACATCGCAGTGGTGGAACATCGCAGTGGTGTAACATCGCAGTGGTGTAACATCGCAGTGGTGGAACATCGCAGTGGTGTAACATCGCAGTGGTGTAACATCGCAGTGGTGTAACATCGCAGTGGTGTAACATCGCAATGGTGTAACATCGCAGTGGTGTAACATCGCAGTGGTGGAACATCGCAGTGGTGGAACATCGCAGTGGTGTAACATCGCAGTGGTGGAACATCGCAGTGGTGTAACATCGCAGTGGTGTAACATCGCAGTGGTGTAACATCGCAGTGGTGTAACAACTCACAAGTGCTCGAGGTGTGCCAGGCGCGAGAGGTCTTGTGGCATCACTCCAGTGCGCAGCTTGGCATAATGAGCCGCGTCGCTTGGAGGTGGTGGGGGGAGAGAGGAAAGCCAGCAAGACGGGAAAGGAAGTTGCAGGGCAAAATGGATGTACCCATACATAGTGGGTGGGTGCTTGAGAGGGTGTGCATGTGGGTATTCGTGATTGTGCGCATGTTCTGCAAACGCTTATCTGCTGACTCAAGGAAAGAATGTAGTACCAAAAAAATCCCAAAAAGGTGAAAGCAACGCAAGTGAATTTAGAAAATACTTAAGTTTGGAAAACAATACTCTCAGTGGCACAGCACATGCATGCGTACAGATATCGCAAATTTGTCAAGTCCAAGGACCATCGAGGAAACACGGTCGTTCGCAGACCGCTTACGTCCCTGAAGCATACGAACATGAATGTACATGGGTGGGAATACTGGTAACTGACTCTTGTTATGCTTGAAAGGAAGTATATATGGAAGTTCAATGGCTTGGGACGAGACGAAAAGGCCTCACAGATGTGAGGCTGCAAATAGATATAGGTGTGCAGTGACAGCATACGAAGTGCATCCATACAAAGGTTGAGATAAAACAGAGCAGAGACGCATGCAAAACAAACTGCGGACAGGTTCGATAGAAAGCAGCATGTGAACAGGGGCAGTCTGGGAGAACACAACGGCATATGAGAGCATGCCTCGCTCCATCTTCACAAGCCTAAGCAACACGTGGTAGGTAGGTGGGATGCCATCTCCCAATGCTGTCTCACAAGGTCGAACCACAGAAGCCACCCAGCTAAGACGATTTCAACCACCGCTGTTAGCTTTCCAGCCCAGGGAAATTTCTGAACCAGCACGTAGCCAGCTTGGAAGGGTACGCTTCTCTAACATGTTACAGGGTTTATCTGATGATGGCACAAGCATTTTTCTACTGTATGATTGCAATCGCGACGAGGGGCTGGGAATGTTCTCCTGCACACCATGCCACAAGCTCATTTCTACAATGCGTACAGAACCGCTCAAATCAAACATGCCGTCAATGTGAGCGAAGCACAGTGGCAGGCACTAGTCCCCCAGCGCATTCAGTGCATACTCCTATTGAAACACAATATTGACTGCAAGGAAGCGAACTTGAAGCTAAGCTCAGGGGTTTTGTGGAAGTCGGCTAAGGGCACACATGAGCAGGGTACACCGATGCATTGCTTTCTCCACTCCACTAACGACTCGGCTCGGCTGAACTTTGGCTCGGCCAGGCCCGTTCGGCTCAGTTCTTGACTAATGTGGGATCGGTGATGACCTGGCAAATCAGTTGATTGATTAGACTCAACTCAACTTCTTGGTGGTACCAAGATTCTACGACCTTTAGGTCCCACTCAAGATGAAGGTATCATGGAACTTCATGTCCATCTTGAATTCAAGTCACAGTCGCTTCGAGGACCGGTCATCTGACTGTCCACATGCAAACCCCCACATACGTACACATATATACGCATATATAAATATATATGTATACATATATATATACGGGGGTTCAAACTCCAACCTCCCGAATTTCATTCTACCAACGGTTCACGTTTCACTCCACCAGCCCATCTGAGTGATGGTTCACATTTCAACCTCTCAGACTCTAACATGTCGTCAGACAGTGTTCTTTTTGTTATATGGAACCCACAGTTCTACAACACTGCATTGCTACAAAATCTCAGCTGATTTGACTCGCCTCGAGGTAGAAAGGGGGCTCAAATCGACTCGCCTCATGCTCATGTCTACTAAGAAAGAGGTGTGCGGTGAGGTTTCACTTGTATCAACTTTTACTTGAGTACCGACTCACAGGTGGGTGAGAGCAGTCAGGGTGCCCAACAAAGCAGGTAGCTCGCCGGCACAAGGGACCCGCGCGATGGTGCTGCAAGGATGGGCACAGCGCATGGGGCCATGGTGTAAGGCACAGGCACAAAGAAGTCCTCTGTTGTCTGCTAACCATACATGATGATGGTAGGGGGCAGATGATGATAGGGGGTTGGGTTTACATTTGTCAAACCACAAAACACAACGCATGAACGAGGATTTGCAATTCTCGAACCACGCTACAAGGCAATTTTCCTCGGTCTTACGCGTGCGCACTACGCCAAGTGGAGCGGCGGCGCTCTCAACTCACAGGCTTTGCATGGCTGTGAGGGCAGTGAGGAAGGTGAGCGCTGACAAATCTCCCTCCACACTGAGCATGCGATACATCACACTGGTGTGGTGCGGTGGGGTGCGGTTAGGGATGAGCACCGGACGAACATCGAACATGTTCGCCCGAACTGTGACGAACACACTCAGTGGGCGAACCGAACATGTTCGGTTCGCCCGAACACTTTTTACTGAAATCTTAGGTTCGAGGTTCGGCCACTGTGGGCGAACCTATAAAAGGGGGCCGAACATCAGAGATGTTCGGGCGAACCCGAACAGGTTCGAGTTCGCCCACTGCAGGGGGGGGGGAAACCTTCTTATGTTTTAGTGGATATGAGCTCCCAGTGGGAAATTGGATGCTCATTACAACCCTAAATAACGGCCTTAACACCCCATTGGTGCCTAACTAATGGTTGATGTGGGCGATTTAGTATAGGAAGGTACGTTGGGTGGCGCTTAGGCTAGATTAACCCTAGGAAAAGTAGATCGAGCTGAGAAACAGCTCGATCTGCTCTTCCCGTCCTTTTCGTATCCAACCAGCGCGACATTGTCGAGAATTTTCCCGAACATCAAAATGTTCGGGAGAACAGGTTTGATACCCGAACATGTTCGATGTTCGGGCACTAGACACGCGCGCGCCACGAACGCGCGAACATGTTCGGGCCGAACCCGAACATGTTCGGGCGAACATTTAAACAAAAAAATGGAGGAAAGTTCGGTTCGCCCCCGAACATGTTCGGGCGAACCGAACGCACGTTCGCCATTTTGCTCATCCCTAGGTGCGGTGCACCAACGCAACCGCCATGCAGGGGAATGGAGTGAATCAGCAGAGGCGGATGTCAAAAAGGGTGGTTAGTAGCAGGAAGAATTGTGTGTTGGCCAACTGACCCGCACCACCTGGGTGTCAGCCCAATCACAAGATCTGCCAACCAACTAGCCCCACTTGACTTGCCCACACCACGTGGGCATCGTGAGACAGTGAGATTTCTTGGCTCGAGTCATAATGTCAGCAGCAATGCCCGCACCTGACAAAGCTTTTTCTGCATCTAGTGAGAATGATAGGCTAGCATGCTGCTATAGAGAAAATAATATTTTTGCAGCGAACACACCCCCCCTTCCACCTGACAAGCTCGCAGCACATTTCTGCACGTTTAAGTTGCAAAGCAAGCCTGTGTGTTATGCAATGTTGGCTATGCCTGTGTGCCCGAGCTATTACAGGGTGGCATAGCACGCAATACGTACAGCGTGTGTAGATTGGTGAGGCTTGAGAGCCATGAGAGGCCCTCCACACGGCCAGTAATGTTCTCTGCACCGATATTTCTGAGAGCAAAAGCAGATGGGCATGTGTGTGTGTGCGTGCGTGTGCATGCGTGCATGTGTGTGTGTGTGTGTGCGTGCGTGTGCGTGCGTGTGTCATACAGAATGGCAAAGTAGGCTTGAAGCTTGTCCATACATACCAATCTCAGCCTCAACGCTCTCTTTGATGGAGAGGTTTGTAATAGATGGGCAGGGGGAGGGCCGGGGAGAGGGGGGGAGAGGGCGGGGGGGTGTGGGGGGGAAGAGGTAGGGGTGGGTGAGTGGAAAGAAAAAACATGAACGAGTCTGGTAATTGTCAGAACTGGAGACGTGTGACCATGGTATGGTGTGGATGGTACCGGATGGTTGGCAATGCTTGTTGCATGCACGCACACTTATGACTGTTGCAAAACAAAGTGATGGATGGACGGGAGTGGTAACGAGGTGCTCTAGGCTTGTGAGATAACGAGTTGTGATTGGAGAGGCTATTGGTGATATTGTGGCCATATGCCTGGAAGCATTAGGGGTGGGTGAAATCCTGATGTGCAAGCAAAGCAAGAACATGGTGGCACAGCGATAAGTGAATGAGAGCACATTCTCCATGAATGAGAGCATGGCAATCCTCCAGCACATTCATGCAGGCGTGCGGGCATGCACGCATGCACGACTGCAGCAGCCCATGGCATGGCATGGCACAGCAGTGACTGACTGACAGGTATGTGAGTCCAGTCAGACGGCCGAGTGTGGATGGTAGGCTTCCGGAGACTGTGGTCATGTAAACATCTCTGATGGACAAGGGGTGCGAATGAGTGAATTGCACCGAAATCATGAACGGATGCCACAAGGTTGCACGGGAGAAATCAATATCATCATATCGCCATCATTGGAGCTGCGTTCTTCTTTGCAGAATAGCATTTCTTTGCCACTCCACTGAGCTCTTTTCCTGAGCTCTTCTCTTGAATGGAAAACAAAACACGTGCAAAACAGGGAGTCCAGAGGCTCACAGCAAGAGACGCACAGGTGTGAGAGAGCTGGGAGAGAGAGGATGGCAGATGGCAGGGAACCAGTCACCGATGTCCACGCAAGGTCCCTAGCAGTACAGGGATTCGCATTGCACCAAGAAGAAGGTGGGTGAGGGAGGAGGCGGTTGGTCAACGAGGTATCATGTATGGACAGGTGAAGAGAGGTATATATCGCACATAACATGAAAGTTGAAGGGAAAATGGAGGAGGCTGGTGGGTGGGTGAAAAACACGAGCAGGGTGATGGATGCAGGAAAGGCAGGCATGGCGTGTGAAGTGAAGTCCCCTCATGGCTGTCAGATGGAGCAGCCATGCGGCAGACTTTTATGCTGCACAGCACACCAAAACATCCCACCCTCATCCATTCCGTCCTTAAATAAGAAACCAGCTCCACACTACCTCTATTGGGAGGAAGAAAGCGCATCTAGACAAACGATGCAAGGAAAAAGACGGCTCACAAGGAGGAGTGTTGTGGAGAAGGCGGGCGTGGGGAAGGCATGTGGCATGTGCCCCGCTTACAGCATGCGGAGGGAGGTGGGGAGAGCGAGTTGGGTGATGGAGCCTTGGAGAAAGATGTTGCTGGCGAGCACACTGGATGGAAGGAGGGTGGAACGGAGAGGGGGGGGGGCGTGGGAGGGGGTGGGAGAAGAGTGGGAGGAGGGGTGGGAGGAGAGTGGGGGAAGGGTTGGGAGCGGGACTGAGGGTGCAGAGGAGCTGCAGATGGAGTGGAGAGCATGGCTTGCTTGCCATTTCGCATCATGAGGTTCCGGGATGGTGTGACAATTCAGGCTGAAAGCTTGGAGCTATGAATGTATTTTCAGAGACGGAGTGGCTCCGGGAAGAGGAAGGCAGCTGCTGCAGGGGATGAGCCACGGGCGTTTGTTTGGAAGGTAAAGGACGGCGTGTGCCAAGCCAACCAGGCTGTCCCAGCCTTGTAATGTCCTTGACATGATGTAGCGAGGAGAGAAGGAGGGCTAAAGTTGCACTACGTACAGAATTAGGAAAAGACGTTGCGAGATTAGGAAGCAGAAGGGGGGCTCAGGTGAATTTCAAGGTGCCTCAAAACTCGTCTCGTTACAGGCAGAAGGGACTCAGGTGGAGGCACGGACAGGGGAGCAGCGGTGCAGTGCAGACTAACAAAGTGGGCGGCAGAGACGTACAGGCGTCGCAGGTAGGGCATGCGAGAGAAGATGGTGAGCGGCATGGTGGCATTGAGCATAGCGTACTCTGACAAGTCACTGCGGGAGGAGGGAGGGGCGTTGGTGCAAATATAAAGAAACATTGAGGTTTTGTGACCACGCGTGCATGCCCACAGATGTACACACACACACACACACACACACACACACACACACACACACACAAACACACACACACACACACACATACACACACACACACACTCACACACACACACACACACACACACACACATGCACGGACGCTTCTGCCTCCTGCCTGCATCTCCTCTCGTTTTCCCAAACACCTCCTCTCTCTACCGCCTTGCAGCAGAGCAACTAACACCTCCTCTCTCTACCCTATCGCCTTGCAGCAGAACAAACACCTCTCCTCTCAACCCTCTCTCTACTCCTCTCTCCGTCCACCTTGCAGCAGAGCAACGCACAGGGATGTGATGAAGCCTTCCTGGTTGCACGATATGTACTCCCACTCGCTGCAGCCCCGCGACGCATTGCCCCTCCCCTCCCACACCTGCCATGCCGCGTTCAGCTCCACCAGTGCTTGCACTGCCACCGTGCCACATGCACACATGCACACATGAACGCATGCATGCATCCGTGAGATACGCGGAGGCATGCATGCACCCATGTCCGCATGCAAACATGCATCCATGCACACATGCATGCACCCATGCACCCGTCCACGCACGCACCCATGCACCCACGCACGCACGCACTCATGCCCCCATGCACCCATGCCCGCATGCACACATGCGCATGCACACACGCACACATGCGCTCATATAATGGGCGTGCATGCACCCAGCGCAATGGTTCCATGAAGTTCAAGCAGGCAAACAGGGAGGCAGAAAAGATGGGCGGGAGGAGCATGCTCGGCACAGATGCTCGGCTTGGGGATTTGTAACGCGAGAGTCAGGGAAGTGCGAGAACTGTGACGAGAACAGGTGGCTTAGGGTGGTGGGGAGAGAGGCACGCAGGGGAAAGGCATTCAGGGGAGAGGCATTGATGGGAGAGGCATTCAGGGGAGAGGCATTCAGGGGAGAGGCATTGAGGGGAGAGGCATTCAGGGGAGAGGCATTGAGGGGAGAGGCATTGAGGGGAGAGGCATTCAGGGGAGAGGCATTGAGGGGAGAGGCATTGAGGGGAGAGGCATTCAGGTAGTCTGGTCTCAAGCAAGCAGCGCTTGGGATGCAGCGTCGCAGGGCGCAGGCGGCGGGCGGGCAGGCGGAAGCATCCCATAGTAGGGAGAGCTGCATGGGGAAGGGTGGGAGGAGCGAGCGGAGCGGAGGCGCGCTCGTCTTTCCACTGTTGGCCGTGTGTCTCCCCGTTGAGGGCGTGCCTGGAGGGCTCTCGGGAGGCTCCGAAGAGGAGGCTTACGCTGAGTGTCCGCAAGAACCGCCCCGGCGGCGGATGCGCGCGGAGAAACAGTCTCAGCGAGGCTGACGCGACGCCCGTTCCGTTCACCGTGCGACCCGTGCGACTTGGACAAGTCGCCATGTTCGCGAAACGTCCGTTGCCCCTCCGCCGCACTGGGGCCGGCGTGCGGCGAAAGCACGAGGACTACTAGTAGAAGCGCAGACGCGAGGAAGAACGGCGAGGGGCAACGGGCGAGCAACAGCCGGCGCGGGCTGGCGGAAGTCGACAGCGACAGTCGCCATGCCATGGCGTTCCCAGAGCGTCACAATTCGATTCGCCACTGCAAGTCAGCACCACTTCCGCCAATATAAGGTTTTGCTCGCCATCGAACTACCATGGGATGCTAACTTGAATTGTCCTACGAAATGTCTAAAACGAGGTTAATTTGTTAGGTTCGAGCTAGGCGACGTCCTCGGGGTAAAAGAGGCTCGGAAATGTGGCGAATTGTGCGGTGGCGACACGGAAGTGGTTCGTAGCAAAAACGTAGGCCGAACCTGCTGACGCGATACGCTCGGAATATCCCCGCCAAGGTCTGTCTACAGTGTGGGTGAAAAATCCACTTCCTAAAATTCGCAAATTTACCCTGCACAATTTTCGGGACCAGATTCGACCTTGTACGAAAGTTCGTACCGTGACGTCGCAGTTTGCACGAAAGCAATTCGACGCAAGACGACGAGTACGACGTCGTTTAGTGTGTGACAAAGTTACTGACGACTGACGAAATATGTTACCCGTCCACAGTCCGAACCGTCGGTGGTTCGAACCTTCAAGCGGCAAAATGGTGCCGCGCCCTAATTAACCTATACTTCTTCTGGTGTCAGATCTCTGTGACGACCAGATTCTACCACTCACGCAGGCGCTGTGTGACACACGACTCCCTCCACGTATTTCTCTTCTCACGGTATTCCCGCTTCGTGGGTCGTTTGCACGCCAAGACCAGTTGCCGTGATCCGTTCACCACGGTCGCCATCGTACGCCGCCTTCGCCTGCCACGCAAAGTGTGGGCGCTTGACCGCCGCGCACCTCGACACTCCTCGATCGCACGCACCTCTTGCGACGAGTAGCTGCTTGTAAGTCCCGTGTTCCCCGTCCGCCCCTCTCCGCGCACTCGCCTCTCCGCGCCCTCATCTCTCCGCGCCCTCGCCTCTCTTGTTCATCGCCTGCCCCCCCTTGCCTCCCCTCCCCACCTGCCCCTCCCACCGCCTCTCCTCATTCCTTCTCCTACCGTCCCGCCTTTTCTTCCTCGCTCCTGCTCTACTTTTTCCTCCCTCCCATCCGCCACGCATTCTCGTCCTCCCTCCCCCTCCCTGTCCCCTACAACGCTCACTTGCTTTGCAACCCTTCCCTGCCTGCCCCTCTGTGAGGCCGCCCCATGTCTTCTTCCACCTGCCCTTCTCCACCCGTCCCTCTCCACCCGTCCCTCTCCACCCGCCCCTCTCCATCCGCCCCTTTCCACCCGCCTGTCCCTGCCGGCCTTTTCTTCCCCCTCCTGCCTTCCCTCCATACTATCCTTCCCTAGTTTCCTTCCCCCCCCGCTCTGCTCCTCCCCCTCACCACCGCTCCCTCTCCCCGTCGGTTCGCCCTTCACCTGTCCGTGTCGTGGTGCCGCCTGCAGCAGTACCCTTGGTGGGGGCAGGGCCAGGGTGAGCCACGTGTCTGGGTGAGCCACGTGTCTGAGTGAGCCACGTGTCTGGGTGAGCCACGTGTCTGAGTGAGCCACGTGTCTGGGTGAGCCACGTGTCTGGGTGAGCCACGTGTCAGGGCCAGCCACGTGTCAGGACCAGCCATGTATCCATCAAGCGCCAAATATTTCAATTCCCTACCTAACTTCCCCTCCCCCCTCTCACCATCCTGCCTCCAGCAAGGGGGGCAGGGCAGTGCACGGCTGGGGGGCGGGAGGTCATTTCAACGCAGAGGTGTGGTGTGGCGCCACACGCGGCACGGGCAGCATGCAGCCTCAGGTGCGGCACTCTGTGGTTGCGTGTAACATGCTGCACTGGATTAGGGCGGGACAGATGGGAAGGGGGACAGATGGGAAGGGGGACAGATGGGAAGGGGGTGGACTGGGAAGGAGTGGCGTCCTTATCATTCTGCTGGCCTCATGAACAGTTGGGAAGAAAACCTATCACTTATTTTTTTTTAGAACACCAATATTTCGTCAGACTATTGGGTGGGATGCGCTTTGTCTTTGCTCGAATCAATCACGCCCTCCAGTCTTACACCGTCCCATCACGCCTTCAAGCACCGCCTCTCTCTCTCTCTTCTCTCCGTCCATGTGAGCAGGCAGAAGGACCCAAGTACGCCCATCCGCAGGTGGTCTTCTTCACCTGCTTCTTCAAGGTCAGATGCGGTCACTCTTACATGCCGCATGCACTCATTCACTCATACATACATGCATGTGTCATGCACTCATTCACTCACACATACATGCATGTGTCATGCACTCATTCACTCACACATACATGCATGTGTCATGCACTCACTCACTCACACATACATGCATGCGTCATGCACTCACTCACTCACACATACATGCATGCGTCATGCACTCATTCACTCACACATACATGCATGTGTCATGCACTCATTCACTCACACATACATGCATGTGTCATGCACTCACTCACTCACACATACATGCATGCGTCATGCACTCACTCACTCACACATACATGCATGCGTCATGCACTCACTAACTCACACTGCACACCACATGCTCACATCACCTACATCGTGCACTCACCCGCCCACGCGCTCACACTGCTTGCATGCCACATCCGCGCGCACATACATGTGCTCACTATGCAACATGCGCTCTCACTATGCATACATGCGCTCTGCGCTCTCGCTATGCATAAATGCGCTCTCACTATGCATACATGCGCTCTCACTATGCATACATGCGCTCTCACTATGCATACATGCGCTCTCACTATGCATACATGCGCTCTCACTATGCATAAATGCGCTCTCACTATGCATACATGCGCTCTCACTATGCATACATGCGCTCTCACTATGCATACATGCGCTCTCACTATGCATACATGCGCTCTCACTATGCATACATGCGCTCTCACTATGCATGCATGCATACCACATTCGACCATGCTCCCAATCGCCACCTCTAATCCCCTCTTCGTTCCACTCCTCGCCGCTCTCGCCATGCTTTCCTCAACTCCCCCCCATCCTCCCTCTTCCCCACAGGCAGCAGCGCTGGGGTTCTACCTGCTGGGCAGCTGGTTCACGAGCAGCTTTGTGATTGACTTCGTGGTGTGCGTGCTGCTCATTGCTCTCGACTTCTGGGTGGTGAAGAACGTGAGCGGCCGCATCCTCGTGGGGCTGCGCTGGTGGAACGAGACGGACGACGCTGGCGAGACGCTCTGGCACTTCGAGTCGCTCGACCAGGCTGTGAGTGGAGTGCGGTGGGGGGTGGTGGGGGGTGGCACGAGATGGTGGGGGGTGGTGGGGCATGGTCGTTTCTCTCTGCTCAGGCTCAACCAGGCGGTGAATGGAGCGTGGTGGGGAGTGGTGGGGGGTGGTGGTGGATGCTGGGGCAATGGTCCTTCCTCGCTCCTCACTCTATGTTTCTTTCTCATCGCTCTTCCTTTTCCCTCGTCGCCCTACCTTCCCTCCCCGCTCTATCTTTCCCTCTTCTCGTTCTATCTTTCTCTCACCTCACTTTAACTTCTCTCTCGCTCTTTCCTCACTCTAACTGTATCTCTCGTCCCTCGCATCGCTTTCATTCCTCCCGTGCGCCTCACGGCAGTCGTTGGACCAGCTGAGCAAGACTGACGCATGGGTCTTCTGGTGGACACTCTATTGCACGGTATGGCAACGCGGTTACACAGCCTCCACTGTGGTACTGCAGTGATGCGGTAACACATCCTGAATGTTGCATCATGACGTTTTTATCACGTTCACTCTGAATCCACTTCATCCTTGCTGCACAGTGTCACGCTGTGCTTATCCATTCACCTCATTCCTCATCCCCATCCCCATCCCCATCCCCATCCCCATCCCCATCCCCATCCCCATCCCCATCCCCATCCCCATCCCCATCCCCATCCCCATCCCCATCCCCATCCCCATCCCCATCCCCATCCCCATCCCCATCCCCATCCCCATCCCCATCCCCATCCTCATCCCCATCCCCATCCTCATCCTCATCCTCATCCCCATCACCATCCCCATCCTCATCCCCATCCCCATCCTCATCCTCATCCTCATCCTCATCCTCATCATCATCCCCATCCCCATCCCCATCCCCATCCCCATCCCCATCCCCATCCCCATCCCCATCCCCATCCCCATCCCCATCCCCATCCCCATCCCCATCCTCATCCTCATGTGGGTTCATCCATCTGTGCTTGCGTGCTAATCTACATGTGTGCATCTGTGAGTGTGTGCATGCATGTGTTTGCTCACACGGATGGCAACATGTTCATATATGCATGCCTGTGACTGTGCATACATGTGACTGTACATGCATTGCCTGCCCTCCTGCATGCATGTTCACAGTCAGCGCTGTGGCTGGGGCTGGGGCTCATTCAGGTCATCCGCCTCAGCTTCGACTATCTGCTCATCATCATCGTGGCTCTTGTGCTCGGAGCCGCCAACATCTACGGCTACACCAAGTGCCGCCGAGGTCACTACCCTTGTCCCTTGCCCTCTCCGTCCTTGTTCTCCCGGCCCATTCTCTCCCCTCCCGTGCTCTCTTGTGCTCGATGCTGCCAACATCTACGGCTACACCAAGTGCCGCGGAGGTGCCCCCCCGCACCTTCTTCCCCCACCCCTGCTCCCCCATCTCGTGGTCACCCCAACCCTGCTCCCCTCGCCCGTCCCTCCCCCCCCCCTCCCCCACCCCCTGTGCTTTTCCCATTGCTCTATCCGCTGGCTCAATCATGCATGTGCGAGTATGTTCCCAAATTTCAAAAGCATTTCCAAGAAAATGTATTTATTTCAAATGCTTGTACATGGTATGGTATGTCCGATATGCATGTGCATGTTCATGCTCATCATATGCATGTGTTGTGTATGCATGTGTATGGTTATGCATGGACATGTGCAGATGCCAAGAAGCAGATCCAACAGTTTGCAGCACAGACCATGGCACAGTTTTTCGCCTCCACGCTCACCTCTGCCCTCGCAGTCTGAAAAAACTTATAAGTGCAACTCTGTCCCGGCCCAGGCCCGCCGCGACGCTCTAGTACCGTAGAAAGAAAGCTTCGAGGTCCGTTTTAACATGGGTTCTGGTTTGATCGTGCGCTCTTAGGTACTGTGGATGTTGTCCGGATAATGGACTGTCACTGTCCATTAGGAGCAGGCATGCAGTGCATCTTGTGTGGCTGCTTGCTCAATATATCACTTCGAAATATAAATATTCATGTAAACTATGATATACCTTCAACGCGTCGTGACTGCACACTTTCCAGTTTGACTGTAGCGATCATCGCTGCCTGAAAACATCGCGGAGCTCAAAATGAAAGTCTCCTCGAAGCGCACGGTCTTCGCGGCTCGTCAATTTCCAGAACCAGAGCACATTTCGGAATTCCAGCTCGGGCGAAACAAACTACAAATTCTTGTTTCGTAAGCTCCGTCATCTGTCTGTCATAGCCTCATTTTCTGGAGGCATAAATTCTCTTCGTCTAGCCCATTCTGACAAGGTTGCTGAGCTAAAAACGACGACTGAAAGGGCTTCAGCATGACGGCGCTTCCATTCTTCAATAAACTTATGCTTTGGGTCCTACCTGTGCTAGTCTACGCAGCCTCGGTGGCCGATAGCACTGCTGCGGCCAGACCTTGGCCGTCAAGAACTGCCCCAGTCACTACAGTTGGAATTACTAGGCGCTGGCAATGGCTATCGGGCGTCAGTGCGTCTCGTGTCATCTTCTCTCCTACTTCGAGGTACGCTGCCACGGAGCCCTCCTTTTTGGCACATTCCTTCATGCATTCATTACTTCTCCTTGTCCAAATAGACACTACTAGATACAAACAACATACAACACTGGTGCTACTCATTTTGCATTCGACAGAAAGCAGGCCTTCAACTACTGGAGCTATCTCCCCGGCGCCGCCCCCGCGCTGCTGCGGGAGATGCAGGCGGAGATGTTTTCGACAGCAGCAGCTCTGGGGCTCGTAGGTAACGGCGAGAGGGGCAACTCTGGTAACCTGGACCTTTCAAGAAACGCGCAGAGTCAGTTCAACACGGCCGTGCCATCCTTCGGTATTCCTGGACTTAGCCTGCTCGGCCGAAGGTTGCTTGAGCGCCAAGAACATGCACAAAGTACCAGTAAGTTTAATGTAGTTGAACATACAGAACACGCATTTGTTTGCTACCACCATAAAGATTCCAGGTGGTCATTATACACAAAGGACGCTCCCTTCTAAATCATCCCGCCTGCAGGGAAATTCAAGTCTCTGCGGATAGCCGCGGCCCTCCAAGTGGTCACGCGAGTATTCGACAGCAGCAGCGGCAGCAGCCGCAAGCAGGTGGGACCAAACGCGGGCATGGGAGCGTACGCGCAGAGCGGCAACATCGGCAGCATCAACAACCAGAACACCGTCAACGACCAAACCGCGGACGCCACCAAAACCGGCCCTGGCACCCCCGGCGTCATCGCGACGCCGTACTCGCAGTACCAGAAGCGCGGGGCGACGGCGTACCAGACGAACACGCAGTCGCAGACGGCGACGACCAATGGCATCACGCCCACGTACCAATTCGGGTCCACGTCAGCGACCAACACGATCACAGCCCTAGGCAGCGGGGGCGCCGGGTACGGCGGACTAGGAGCACTTGCGGGGGGTACGGGGGCGGCGCTCGGCACGCTCAGCAGCGCGGGGGTGCCGTTTGCGACGTCGCTAATGTCGACGAATCCGACTGGTGATCCGATTGGCGAAGGGGTGCGGTGCGTGAGTCAGTTCGCCGGTGGCGGGTGCAGCGAGGAGGGGTTTCTGCCCGCAGCGCATGCGAGCGCAAGGCCCATCGAGGTGATCTCTGAGCTTGGAGCGGCAAGGGCGTAGGAAGACCTTATTGAGGCTGCAGGAGTGATTCAGTAGGCTGTACAGTACAATGCCGCGTTGTATGGATGGCCAGGGTAGAAATCAAAATGCGAATATAGTATGATGAATCAAAACGGAAGGTCCCCGTGGGCTGTTGAGCTAATGGCACGACGAGCCGCACGGCTGGTCAGGACGGTTCCCCGTGATCACCTCCTCGCTGTCGCCATAGCCCTCTCCAGTCGTCGCTTGCACCAGCGCCAACTGGGACCTCGCAAGGCTCGCCTCTAGTGCGGCACTCTGCGACCGAGAAGTCGCGAGCTTCCGCTGCGACTGAACGAGCTCGCCTGATAGAATGGCGACTTTCGCCTCAAGAGCCGCGATTGCTCGCCTGCTCGCAGACGCTTCGTCCACAGCCGACTGCACCTTGGCGTGCAACGCCGCCGCGATGTGTTCGTGTCGCGACTGTGCGACGGAAGGCGTTGCGACGGATGCGAAAGCGTGACTCTCGATACCATTGCAACCCCAGGTTTGCTGGCTCTGCATAACAAATTGCTCCTGTGCCGTCGCTTGGTGTTGTTGCTGCACCTCCTGCTGCCTCCGCAGCAATTGTTCCAAAAGCACACGAAATTGCGGCTGATTCATTTCCTGTCGCACATCGACGCCGCACGAAGGAGCTCGCGACGGAACACCGGACGCAGGCGACCACTGCCACTGAGGTAACCCCATCGCCGTGTTCGCGACGTCGTTGATCGTGAGGCTTCCTTCCGACGCCATCAGCGACGACGACGACCGTCGCACGAGCTCGCTGGGCGAACACGGATCGACGGAGAAAGACTGGCGCAGGCTAGTAGACGCGTCCGCGCCGACCGAAGCCGCCAATTCGCAGCCGCAATGGCGGTCTTGAGCGGCGTTAGCAAGGGTGCACTGAACGACGGGAGCGCCGTGCTTCGCTGGTGA